AAGTGCTCGAGAAGAGTCAGTAAGGAGAAGTTAGACAATGAAAACAATACTGAATATTACGAGTGAGAAAATCGCACATAACACAGGATATGTTAGCAAAAGAAAAAAAAAACACAACTAGAAGTGCTTCAGTAATTTTACTTTCTTACTGAGATCCCCCCAACAGCTTTGGGTTTATGATGAAATATTAGATGTTTAAAAATTACAAATATTTGTATCTTTAAGTAAAATTCTAGTCACTGCACTTGACACACCTTTCGCATTTTACTTTGAATTATGGTGATATTTCAAATTATTTATATAATATCTCAAGAAATAAAGACTTGATGTATAACTGGAGCCACAAGTATTGCTTTTGAACATTACGTAACCGTTAACAGTATGTTTTACAACATTACACAACTGTAAATAAAGCATATATTTTGAAAGATTACATAACTGTGAACAAGGTATACAATTAATAAGCATAAGCTTCTAGTTACTAAGCATACGGCATGTAAGTTTTAATATAAAATTCTTTATTGTCAGGAATTCATTTATGTTGAAAACAAAATAATGTACTTAACAAAAATGCATTAAAAATAATTGCTCAATATATAAATTCATTTTAAGTCTACTAAGAGCAGACTGAAATAAAACACACAATATATCCAATTATTTAATTTGGCCTTTATCTATATTTTTGCTGTATGATAGCAAATTAATGGATAAGCTGTTTAAAATTTTATTGATCACTGGCATCGTGACGGCTAATAGACTGAACTGGCTGGGGCATATGGAGAGAATGGCAGATGACAGAGAGACAAAAACTGTGAGTTGATTTGCTGTATGTAAACTACACGTCAAACCTAGAAGATGGTGTAGAAGTAATATGCGAGCAGACCTACAAGACTTGGAGTCACCAGTTACAAAGAGATGGCCAATCAAAGAGATGAATGGAAGCAGGTGATATCTGTAGCAGTAAACCTCAAGGGCTCAGAATGTTATAGAAAAAGAAAATGATGAAGATGCCAAATTTCTATATATCTATATCCTTGATTTGCTCTTTACATCTATCTATGAACAACTGGCTCAAATCTAGAAAAACAGTTATCTTTATTTCATCTTTGCTCCAGATTTTTTAACCTCGTGTGTTTCCTTCATGTCCCTCTGTATTAATATGTATATTGAACACAGCAAAAACATCTTATCTGTTTCATTTCATTTTTTTTTGGGGTCATGACTGTTATGTGTAATTCTTTAACAAGTCTTGTTTTAATTTTCAATATTACAATATGTATTACTACCAAAGTCTTGTAAAAATTGTTAATTTAAATATTGACTAATCTGAGCATTTTTCTAGTTTAATATCTCTGCCAGTTTGTGCTGGCATAGAGTTAAAAAATAAAAAAGTAAGGAACCCATATCTCTGTATTAAGGCATATTGGGTTTGTGGTGCTAGCCTCATTTTTTGTTACAAAGGGTGCCCCAAAAGTTTCCATACAGAAGGAAAAAAGAACAGATAACCAACACCATTACAAGCATAATTCCAGCTGTGCATATTTGTGTTTTTTTGGCAGTGGAAGACACACAATAAAATGTGTTTTCAAAACAATGGTATTTTTCCTCTCTATGGAAACTTATGAGACAATTTTTACAAAAAAAGTTGGAAAAAAAAAAGAGAATGTTTATTCTTCTTTTCATTACACAAATATGTAATTATTGTTTTCTGTTGGCCACAGGAATTTCTCGCAATTCCCTTTAAACCAAGCTAATTAAATAAAATATACAATGAGTGTCCAACCATGTAACACTTCTAGCTCATAGAACTATCGAAGGAAATAGCTGATTCTTGTTCACTGCATATGTCAAATACTTTCTTTAATGAAAGTGAAAGTGTTTTGCTTATGGATAAGCTGACTTTCATATGAAGACTGATTTGGCTATTTTTGTGTGCTAAGATTAAGTATCACATATTGGATCAGACATTTTGTTATTCATCACAATGAACATGACATGTTTGACTGACTTTTCCAGTGTAACAATGTAAGTGACACATTATTGTTCACTTTTGATGTGTCATAATGTACATGACATGTCACATGCCACTTGTCATGTGTCACAGTGAACATTACATGTGTTATTGGCCTTTTTCCATGTGCAGCAACAAATAAACATCACATGTATGTATGTGGCCATTTTTCATGTGTCACAATAAATGTGTCATGTGTTACTGACCACTTTTCATATGCCACTACAAACAGCACTTGTATGACTGGCAACTGTCACAATAAATGGAGGTGGGAGGTGGGGGGAGAGAATAGACTCTCTGCCCCTTGACAAGCATGTCATAGGAGACAACAAATTAAGATTTTGCTGAAACTTGATGTGCTAGGCCAAAAGGCATACATATAACAGCCTAGCTGTAAACCACAACATAATGTGCTAACCATCCTTTTGAGGATGATTGCAGAGAAGCAGAATGATGGCTTAATTTTGTGATCTATTACTTTTAAATAGATCGTTAAAAAAAAAAAAAAAAAATATATATATATATTTTTATATATATATATATATATATATATATATATATATATATATATATATATATATATATATATATATATATATATATATATATATATATATATATATATATATATAATGGTTGAATACAAGAAAATAATATATATTTAAAAAAAAAACTGTATGCTACTATGTATACAAATGATAATTGAAAAAAATACACAGCAGTTAGACCTCAGGTTTATCACAGAATTATGGAGGTTATAAAAAAAAAACAGCACATTATCAACATACAGCTGGGTTATTTTAAAAAAGCTGAGTACATTTTTATATGCACAGAAACAAACTTATAAAATTAATAAATATAGTGATTAGGAGTTGTAAGTTTTGTATATTAATATAATACTAGATGAAATGCTTTCATTACATCTAAAGGGTATTTCACTTAGAGAAGTAAAACTTTTTACAGACTATGAACTCGATATTGAATGTAATACAATTTTACTGAAGCTATTAAATATTGTTAAACGCAATGAAGGAATTATGTGGCTTTAAAGATGTACATATGTTGTATAAAATATAATCATTATAAAGTATTAGAGCAGATATCAATTTTTAGTTAAGTTAATTATGAAGTGAATGAAAGTATAGTTTATATCACTTTTTAGCTACCATTATTCCAATGGGTGTTAGATACTGCAAGTTGAATAAAAATGCCATGCTGATAACAAATTATAATGTTAAACAAGTCAAAGGCAATTTTTAAAAGTCACGTTCGTGCCTCAAGAAATGTACATAAACAGTTACCGAATTAGGATAATATTAATATCACTTTTTTGTTTTGTTATTTGTTAAAATAAAAGCTCATTTAGAAAAATATAATAATTATTACTACTATCTCAGATGAAAGGTTCTATGATTGTAATTTAAAGAAAATTTAGACAAATGGAATTTATGGAAGGTAAGCACATAATAAAGTAAAAAGGGTAAAGATCCCTTTTCATGCCTTAGGCGCATCAGGCATATGGGAAGAGCATCCCATATTTTTACAGACCAATCGGCACTACTTGGGTAATGTGGTCAGGATTATGCCAGTTGTCTTTAATTCCCCAGGACAGCCATCCTGGTACCCGTTTTAGGCTGGGTCGACCTGCTACCTCCCATACCATGATAAAAATTCAGGCTGCCAGCAGTGGGTTTCGATCGCGGTACGTTGGAATTACAAGTCGGATTTGCAACGACTAAGCCACTGATGCCTTTTAACAACACAATGCTATGACATAATTGAAATAAATGTATATATACTAAGTGCAAAGTTGCAGGTAACTTTATTTAACTGTTTAAGGGCAGCTGATCAGTATCTGGACTTACATTTTCTAGGGGATGTCACTGGAAGCCAGTAATCATCCTAACTATTTAAATAATATTTTTTATTTCATTTTTTTCTTCTGGTTAACATGTCTCAAATATTACCTGCAAAAACATGCAAAGGATCAATTCACCTGTAAACAACTGATCATTTAACTGTTAATTTAAATTTTGCTAACTTACAGAAGAATAAGTTTTTACCGAGGCGTGGTTATTGCTAGGTGAAAACTATTCTGGGAGTTGCCGAGGCAGAGCGGCGAGATGCTCGCCGAGGATCGGAAGGTCGTGAGTTTGCTCTCTGGCGGAGCCAGACTTTTTTTTCAATAATGACCTTGGCTCCCAGGTCGACCCAGCCTTGAGTGGGTGCTGGGTGCAGTCCCGGGAAGTAGAGGCGGCCGGTGAGATGCTGACCACATCACCCATCTTGTGCCAATTGGTCTATAAAATATAGGTCTAGCCCTACATGCCCTATATGCCTAAAGCCGTGGAAAAGGGTCCTTTACTTTACTTTTACATTTTAACTTACAGAAGGAGAAAAATAATGTACACAATATGGAAAACATTCATGTTCTTTAAGAATTACAAGAAATAAAAGATTAATTTGTCTGCTGGAAGACAAAGACTGATTAATAAATTTTAAAAGTAAATTATAATATGTGATCTTTCAAAACTATAATTAGCATCAAAATCATGACAATTATTGACATATTTTTAAAGTATACTGTAATCCTTTTTTTCTTTCAAAACTGCCTTTCAAAGCAAATATTTAAAAAATTTAAAGATATAGTTTTTTTCTGCATCAAAAGCCTGAAAATTGTTAATACACTTAAATTATTTTTATAATGCTTTAACAAAAAACAAAATTATCTTCTGGAAAATAATAATTACAGTTATCAACACCTAAAAGAGGCTAGCTGATAAATAATTAAAATATTTTGTCTGGCAATGAAATATCTACTCTACATGTATTCGTTACGAATTTCTGATTAAAGATGTCTTGCTATTCAAGATTGGGAACTGAAAGTAAACTTTTAGAAAATCCTAATAAATATAAGTGAATACAGTAGCAATTAAAACATTGAAAAATGTTTAGTGAAATAATTAGGAGTGTGTTCTATGAATTATGTTTAAGCAAACACTGCAGCAGGAATCTTAGGCATGCCTCCATTGGTTTGGTTTAGTGCAGACATCTGCTCAAAAACTGGCAAATATTGCTTATGGCCTTGACTGTCAGTTTCCACATAGCAGTATCTTGATTGTGTTGTGTCAAGGATGGATGCAGGACATATGTCTGCCTGCTTTCTCACATACTCAGTGCGGTACATTGTTGCATCATCAAATGGAGCATTGCTGGTCAAGGCGGTTGCTTCTGGTTTCATGCTTCTTGGTGGAGCTACTGCATGTGGTACATAATGAGCCTTATAAGTAGGTGTACCATCAAATGGAGCATTATTTGGAACCCATCCATCTTTAGGTCTGGGCATCTCACGTTGAATTCCCCATGGTTTGTAATCACTTTTGTAATTGGTAAGGCCATTGAACTCTCCTGGTATCATGACTCTGCCTTCTCCTGGTTTCATCAGTGCCACTTTTTGCACTGGATGAGGTTTAAATTGTATACGGTGAGTGGTGTTATGATCCATCTCTCCTTCAGGCCTAACATACTGATCAGGCTGGTGTATGTGTGGTCTCTCCCCATTCCATCTTCTGTAATCATTCTTGAATGTAGTCAGATCATCTAGAGGCGCATTAGACTGGAAAGCCTCAGAGATAGGTTTGCATGACTCTGCTTTAGGGGCTTCTTTCTTTGTATAATCACGATTGAATGTTGTCATGCCATCAAAGGGTGCATTAGGGGCCCTGTAAATCTCTTTCTCTTTCATTTCACGAGGTTTCAGGGGATGGCGGACATAATCATCACGGTAGCCGGTATTTCCATCAAAAGGAGCATTTGACATCTGTGCAGCTTCAAGGGGTTTCAAGCTCTTACGCGGAGGTTCATTGTATCTTCGGTAATCTCGAGTGAAAGTGCTCTGGCCTTCAAAAGGCTGTACTGGAGGGACCCACTGATCTGGCATCTTTACTGCATGTCTCTCAAGAGGCCATTTACGATAATCAACTGCATAAAGCAAGAAAATGTTATATTAGATGTATCAGTCAAACTGTCAGCTTAATATGTAAATGTTCACTTTAAAAATAGGCAACTAAAAAAGTTCAGTGCCGCAGAAATCACAGCCTAATAATCGGACTAGAGATCTTGAAACAGCAGGCAAAACTAAGGAAAGAAATTAATAGGACAATGGGGTAAATAATGGACACATTTCAGTAGAAATTTGCTTGTGGACAAATTACTGTCACGATTCCAGAGAAGCAAATGAACTTGGGTAGAATTGAAAATTCAGGTAGTTTTATTAGAAACAGCTAAAAAAAAATAATCTGGGAAAGCAATTGTGTTTTAAATTAAAACATTTGCTCATTATTAGAACAATTGTAAATCTCAAGGTAATCTCACAGAATGTACTGTCAAAGAGATGTGTCATTAGATCTTAATTTTCACACGTTTTAGATGTTGTCTAGTGTGGTTGGTGAATATCTCTGTTTCTCACTATATTTCCATTCCAGAAAAAAAAAGTTAACATTACCTTGAGGAGGTTGGGTTGACCCTATAGCTATTGTGATGGTAAGAACATGCAGTCAGGGATTGACTTCCACACATCTTTGCTATTAATCCAGTCAATTCCTTCTCAGAAAATAATTTGTCTTCTAAGACTGTCATTATAATGATATGTTAATGTATTAAGTTGACTTGTTTAATATGACCTTGAGTACAACTAAGAAGAGACAAAACTTCATTACAAACATTTGAGAACAGTCTTATGATGAATCTTGGGACCCATCAAAGAAGCAACCAGCAGAGAAAAGAGAGTGGGAGGCAGCAATGAAATTCATAATCTGTTATAAATCCTCACTAATTACTGTCCTGAGTGATGTGCTGTCGATTCTTAATTCAACATTTAATTACTGGCATCATGAAGGCTAACATGCTGCAAAGGCTAGGGTACATAAAGAATGGCACATAACAGAAAGACAAAAAATGTGTACACAAAAGGAATACACTACAACCAAGACCCCAAAAACAAAACAGTGGAAATATACAGGCAGACCTATGAGGACTGGGGTCATCAATTGAAAAGAGATGGCAGATCAGAGATAGGAATGGTGAAGGATATCTGCATCAATTAATTTCAAGGCTCAGAATGAAGAAGTCAAAGAACACAAAATAGTAGTAGAAGAAGAAGAAGAAGACGAAAAATAAGAAGAAGAAGAAGAAGAAGAAGAAGAAGAAGAAGAAGAAAGAAGAGGAAGAAGAAGAAGAAGAAGAGGAAGAAGAAGAAAAAGAAGAAGAAGATGAAGTTTGAGAAAAAAGCGGAGGAGGAGGAGGAGAAGAAATATTACCTATCTTGCTAATTTTAAGAATAAAAGAAATATGTTTTTCATGTCATTCCTACCACTTCTCTCAATCTTGTTCAGGAAAACTTAGTTGTTTTAGTACATATAAAAAGTACTTTTTTAAAGGACCTTTCAAACCAAGTCCAGCATTTGCTGACTATTTATAATTTTAATTGGTAATTTTACATTCAGTAGTTTGCCATTGCTAGCTGAACAGCTAATGCTCCACACTATTGTCTAGAACAACCGAAAGTAGTCAACTATCAAACTGCTTGCAGCTGAATCGAAATGGGTATTTTGAACTTAAATAATCTCTTTTCAGAACTAAAGAAGATATGTGGGATAAGTAAATGTTTCCAGAGAATATTTTTTTTTTCAGAAAAAGTAAATTTCTAAAGGCCGCCTCTGCTTAATTAGAAGAATAATTTAATTATAAAATATCAGATATTATACTAAATTAACACCATCCTAAGTTTGTTTCTATCCAATTCTATTTAACTCTTTGAGTCCCAGGTGGTTTAGCATCACAGGCCCAAGGGGTAGTCAACAGAGACATAAAATCGGCGCATCATGCGTTCAATGGGCCTCTAGGTAGGAATCTATGAACGCATGATGCGTTCCTTGGGACTCGAAGAGTTAAAAAGGGAATGTGCGTAGGAAAATATTACCCAAAGTGCACTTTACTACCTAATATACAAAGTATACAGTGTTTTTCTGTTAAAAAAAAAAAAAGTTCACACTTTTTTTTTATGTTATATGAAAGTTACATGCATTTTTATTGTTGTTCAGTGCATTTTCTTTCTGAAACAGTGTTAGTGAAGTTATTTAAAGGTAAATTCTCAGCTGAGAACAATAGGTATCATGTATCCATTGGCAGTGTAAAACTCAAAGCTCACACATTTTTGTGTAGTGTATGATGCATTGTTCGATAGCGTAACTATGTACTTTTCCTGCTGTGTTTACATTCATGAGCTCATAGATTGATCTTCTGGGAGAAAGGAACAAGGAATGTAATATTTACTTTACTGGTGCTTATTCAAGTGCTAAAATAACTATCTTCATGTTGTACATGCTATTCAAAATCTTTTATAATGAGGAAACATGATCCTTTTGACATACTGCATGACTCAGTATGGATGGGAAAGAATTGAAAATAATAACAAAAATTAATATGAGAAGTAAGAATTAACATTCAGCTATGAAGGAAAACAAAGTTAATTCAGAGCAGTTAAGAGAGGAGTTAGCAAGAATATACTGTAAAATCTCATTAATATGAATTACAAGTGACTGAAAAATCAAGAGTCATGTTACAAGAAACTAGTGCTTACGGGGGCTAATGTATTATAAAAATACATGCCAGATGGGATCAACATTTTTTTCAAGTTAACAAAATGATTGTCTTAAATGAGTTGATGTTAATAAGTTTTTACTTTATTATATATCTGCAACTTTTGTCTCCATAGCAAACTGGTCAAGCCATTTGACTTGGGTTTCAAAAGTCATTGGTGTGTTTCCACGGATTCATCGCTCAGTTAATCAGTGCAATTTCTATGGAGATCGCAGAGGACCATTACTGGAGCTATGATGAGCAACGATGTTCTTGGCAGACAAAAAGCTGTTCTGCGGAGAGACTAAGCCATATGTGAAAACATGTGGGACAATGAAGTAGATTCCCATTTCTATTGGCACAACACTCAAAAACATCAACTGTCTTGAAGAAATAACAGTTTTATATTCCTTTTTCAAATAAAGTACCAAAGTACCCTTTTCTCCATGCTTTGGGAAGTACTGAGTGTACTGCAACAACAAAAAATTTTAAAAATCAAAACATACTAAAGACCCTCTTCCATGCCTTTTATTATAATTTATATATAATGCTAGCACACATTTTTATTTATTCAGCACTCAGGAGGTGATCTGTCCATTATCACGCCAGCTGCTTTTGCTTCCCAGTGCATGTCCTAGTTCCATTTATAGGCTGGGTTGCATGACAGCCTAGGTCAATTTGGATACCTGATAAGATGGGGATTTATACAGCTGACTACCAGTTATCAGGCAAGAGTGTTAACCACTCTGCTACCACAGTTATCAGGACTTTCAAAAGGTTGTGAAATTACCCTTGTAAGTTGGTTCTCCCTCAAACTTTGCTGGGACTTGTCTCGGTCCATCATGCTTAATCATCTGTGCTGGTGGGACATGCTTTTCTGTAATGAAAAATTGCTGTACAGTAATTATAGCCAGACATTATAATAAAGCCTGCATTAGTAAAAAGTACTTTCTTCGTGTCATTAATGCATATGGTATATGGTGCTAAACCCATTTTCATTGACCAGTTGGGACTCTATTGTTGATGTAGTCAACACCATTCCAGCGACAGTTACTTTTCACAGCATTTCCTAGTACTAACTTTGACTGGGTCGACTAAGAAATCAAATAGGCATTAGAACAGAAAATAACTACATGTGAAATGCGCTGTCTCCACAAGGTCACTAACAACACAAGATGAGACAGGGTTCCAAATACTAGCATTAGAAAGAAAGTCAGAATAAGACCATGTCTGGATTACATTGAGAGATAAATAATTAAATGGTTCAGCCATCTAGTGAGAACACAGCCAGACTAAACTGCATATGACACTTTTTACAGCAGAACATCTGGTAGAAAGGCAAGAGGAAGAGGAAAAAAGATGAGCAAATCCATCACCCAAGCCGCCTGAAAAGTGCAAGACAAATACAGAAAACTATAACACTGGGCTACAACCTGTTATCAGTGAGATGACAAAAGAATAAGAAGAGGAAGACTAAGAAGTCCTAGTCATTTTAAAATAAAAATCCACCCCTATGCAGCTTCTTATTCTTCTTGGCATTTGGTTTTGTATGTTCAGATCAGACCATCAGGTGGGGTGCATCTATAAATTCACATGTAAGTTGAAGGCCATGTATGGTTCCCCATAGCTTGTTGTGCGCACTTTACTCTTGAGGCCAGATTTCCATTTGTAGGTGTAAAGAATCTTCTCAGGTATTTGTGGTCCCATCTGATGCAGATTCAAACCCAAGACCTTTGAACTAGCAGGGAAGCATCTAGTCACTTCTCTACGCCAGCTCTCAGCATGTATTTATTTATGACAGATTGTGCTACAGAGCACAGTTGTCATGTAAATGCTGCACAAAATGACACAATGTGAAACTGAAATGATGTTGGTCTCCACAGAATGGAGGACCACCTGTCGAGAGTATCACACTCAGCATGAAATCACAGCTTGAGTTATGATCCCCAGGGATCTCCCTAAAAATTGCACTTGTGGCTGAACAACACACCTGTGAAAATAAGAATGTTAATATTCTTCTCCTTCTTCCATAATGCATTGCCATTTTATAATTAGATAAGATGTGTGTGGTAAGTATAAATAAGTGTGTATGATATGTATGTATCAGTGTGTATATATGTATGTATGAGTTTGTGTATATGTGTTTATACATGAATGGGTCTGTATGAGTGTGTGGATATGTGGGTGTCTGGGTATGGATGTGTATGTAAATGTATGGATGTCTATGAATGTTTGTTGTGTATGCAGAGGGAATGTGTTTGTGTGTATGTGTGGGTATTGTGTATGTATGTGTGTTTGTACCTGTATTGGTGCTAGTGTGTGTTTAGGTGTTTGTAGGGGGTTGGGGGAGGGGGGGAGGGGGTAGAGAGAGGTGTTAGCTTTACAGTCTCTGATGTTAATTTCTTCATTTAATTTATCATCTTCAGTGACTGCTGTACCCAGAGATTGAAACTCAGATGCTTGTTTAATACCTTTGCCCTCTACTGCTACATTTAGGTTTTACTGGTTTCTTCCTATCGACATTGCCTCTGTCCTTTCAGTGTTGATTCTCATATGAATTGTTTTACATTCTTCATTCATGGCTATGAGATGTTGCAGTCTGTATCTGCTATCAAGGCCTAGTCCTCTGCAAAGAGTATTTTTTTGATCTTACTAATAGTGTTAATACTGAAGTATGGAAATGAATATTTGCTAGGATATGTGGTTGATTGCACTGTACAGCTCTGACATAATGACTCTAAACAAAAATGATTATAAGAAAGTGAAAGCTTGTAACATGTGGGAGATCATCACAAAATATGCGTTCTCCACAGAAAAGAGTGAGATTCTCAAAGATGATGGAGACAAACTATAGAACAATATACAAAAAAGGAAGAGAGAAGTTTACTGTCATGAGTCATATTACCACACGCAGAGGGAAAGACCCAAACAAAAATTACCTGACTCCAATTCATAAGAGAAGGCATTATAGGTTGTACAAGTTGTGTTTAGACAAGACAGGCAAAGGGTGCAAGCATAAATGAATGTTAACAGTGATTATGAGTCTGTAAAATGGCAGCTGGAAAGTTTTGGTAGCTCTCTGGTGGATGTATTTCATTTATTCACATTATATGACATCGAAATTGAAATAGGTTTGCAGGAGTGCAGGATTTAAATGTGTGGGCATGGTAGCATCATTTATTATGGTGAATCTTGACACGCTTTGCAGGTGTAGCCAGTACTGTAGCAGACTAGTTTACTACCTGTAGCCAGTGTGATTCTGAAAGGTGATATCAGATGAGTTTTCTACCTGATCACCTGTATTGTAGCAGACTACTTTACTACCTGTAGCCAGTGTGATTCTGACAGATGATAACAGACGAGTTTTCTACCTGATCGCCTACCTGTATTGTAGCAGACTACTTTACTACCTGTAGCCAGTGTGATTCTGACAGATGATAACAGACGAGTTTTCTACCTGATCGCCTACCTGTATTGTAGCAGACTACTTTACTACCTGTAGCCAGTGTGAATCTGACAAAGGATAACATATATATTTCTACCTGATCACCTACCTGTATTGTAGCAGACTACTTTACTACCTGTAGCCAGTGTGAATCTGACAGAGGATAACATATATATTTCTACCTGATCACCTACCTGTATTGTAGCAGACTACTTTACTACCAGTAGCCAGTGTGAATCTGACAAAGGATAACATATATATTTCTACCTGATCACCTACCTGTATTGTAGCAGACTACTTTACTACCTGTAGCCAGTGTGAATCTGACAGAGGATAACATATATATTTCTACCTGATCACCTACCTGTATTGTAGCAGACTACTTTACTACCTGTAGCCAGTGTGAATCTGACAGAGGATAACATATATATTTCTACCTGATCACCTACCTGTATTGTAGCAGACTACTTTACTACCTGTAGCCAGTGTGAATCTGACAGAGGATAACATATATATTTCTACCTGATCACCTACCTGTATTGTAGCAGACTACTTTACTACCCGAAGCCAGTGTGATTCTGACAGATGATAACCGATGAGTTTTCTACCTGGCACCTGTATTGTAGCAGACTACTTTACTACCTGAAGCCAGTGTGATTCTGACAGATAATAACCGATGAGTTTTCTACCTGGCACCTGTATTGTAGCATGTGTTATTTTTAGCCAGTTTAAACAGAGTGTAGCAGATATGCGAGATCCCTACAAAGTAACCACTTGGATTTCCATAATAAAGTGATTGTTAATTTGAGGTATTGCAGTCAGAACTGGAGTGTTAAAAATGTGTTACTCACTCAGTCTCAGTATGTATTTATTGTAACTAATGAATGCTTGGGTCAGAATGGGTTAAAATAATAACACTACGAGACAGAAGGAGTTAAGTAACAACTAGAGCTATGTGGGTTAGTGTAACAACCTGATGTGGCATTACAGAAAAGAATAATATAAGTAGATGAATAGTGTTCACATTTCTTCACAGATCTCAGCCCTTAGTGTTTTGAACAAATAAACAAACAAAAAGTGGTGGGGGAAAAGGGGGGGGGGGTGGTGTCGTCAAACAGTTTTGAAATTGATTGCATTTGTAGTTGTGATGATCTATTACACAAACATTTTTTTTAAGTTTTCCGTTATGCCTTGTCCAATATCAGACCAAAAATAGCAGATATCATCAAGACAAAAGTGTGAGCCATGACTTTAGTATTTGGATTCTTAAATACCATAAGTTGATGATTTACTATCTTATTCTTAAAGTCCATGTCATGTGGCGTTGGTAGTCATGTCTATCCACAACCTTCTGTCTCATGTACTTTCAATCAACTCTGACACAATTCTTCATGCCATGATGTAGGACTGTCCAGAATCTTTTCTCTCGGTCTCCCTCTGCTTCTCCTGCCCTCCAGCTTTCCTACTGTCATGATGTACTCCAGTTTTCTGTTTCTCATCACATGATCAAACAATGTAGATTGTCTCTTTCTGATGTGGGCAATTAGTTCTCTTTGTGAGTCAGTTTCTTTCAAAACTTCTTCATTACTCTTTTTGTCTGTCCAGGGTATTCTCATCATTCATCTATAAAACCATTGACTATGTACACTTTGATTTATCTGGATGTTTTCTTCTCTAAGCTCTTGTTAATATTGCTTGGCATTTTTCTGCCTCCTCTTTTCAATCATAAATAGGGTTGAGAAGTGGGGGCGGGGGGGGGGGGGGGGTGTGCCACATGAAATGGGTTAAAAACATGGTTTTTGAACATCCAGCACCAGTAGTTAGTCTTGTAGTTAGTTTCAGACTTTTTCTACCCATGATATTTCCCACTATCATATGTTCTCAGAACTTTGCTTTGACAAAATACTACACTGTCTTTTCTCTAAATATGAAAACAAAAATTTTTATTTTATACAATAGACTGGGCACATCTAGAGGAGAAACAAACAAAGAATCACTAAACAGGAATTTAAACAGGAAGTAAATGCACTGAGGAAACAAGGATATCCAACAGAAACTAAGATGAATGTTTTTGAGAAGACCAAAGGTGTTGGCCTGAATTCCATCTTCAAAGAAATTTTTGCACAATATAGAATGGAATGAAGGTTTAGACTGTAAGCCCTATATGACGTTTAGTGGTATGACAGGATGAAGATGATGTTTTTACAGGCAGAAATCTGATATTGCCATAAATTAATGTGTGAACTAAGATCCCCACGAAAAGTTCAGTATCAAACTAACAGCTCTATTCTTCCTAGAACTGTCAATAAAAATCTAGTGCAGCCATGGAAGTACCTGTGTAGTCTCGGTGATAAGAGGTCAGCGTGTCAATGTCCCCAACTGGTCTCACATATGGTTCATTCACACGGGCATAGGGCTTGTCTAGAGGATGCTTAATATAGTCAGTGCTGAAAGAAAAAGTTTACACAGATCAAATATTATAAAGGAGCTGTGGTAGAATAGTGGTTGGACATTTACCGGCTGGCCAAAAAGTCTAAGTTTCAAATCCATATCAAGGTGCATGTCTTTCAAAATTGACCTTGGCTCACAGGTTGACCCAACCTAGAATGGGTAATAATTATTATCTTCCCTGTGTAATGTCTAGAGACCATTTTGAGGGAAAGGGGGGGGGGGGGAAGAATAGAAACCACTCCCTCTCCCCCCACTTCCCAAACAAGCATGTGCAAAAGTAAACTTAGTAGGGGTGTTTCCTTCGAAGGCGGAGTGCATCCCCCTCAGATGCGAAGAACTATCATCTGTTTACAAGTAAGCCACAACTGTAAAACAAATGTGCATGCAAAACTCAAGCTCTGGACCAAAACTCTAAAGTTCAAAAGTGGACAAACAACCATAACTTTCTGCTGAAGTTTACAGCCGGTGAACATGAAGAAGAAGAAGGAGAAGAAAAAGTGCTATCGTGGGAAGTAAAGGTGGTCAGCATTTTGGCAACCACATCATCCATGAAATGCCGATTGCTCTATAACACAGGTCTAGCACTAAATGTCTAATGTGCCAAAGGTGTGAAAAGGGCCTTTTCCTACATTGTTTCCTAATATTTTAGTAAGCGAGAGTAAACCAGTTGCTAGCTGTTGCTATTAGAAACTAGTAAAATAATTCTTTCACATTCAACAGAACCATTTTTAGCACATCGCTGTAAATCTTGAGCAGTTAGTAGGCAAGCAATAAAATCTATCAATGCTTCACAAATGTTTTACAAGAATTAGCTATACACAAAAAAAAAGGTATTTAGATGTTCTGAAAAGGCTTAGAAATAATGACAATTTATCACAAATGCTGGAAATAGGCAGTAATCCTTTTTGATGACATGAAAAGAGAACATATGTGACATTATGTGACACCTGACATATTTTATGGAAGGAGACACAGAAATTAAGTGAGAGAAGATTTTCAAAATGGAAAGGTATCAGCACCGACATAGTTACAGTCTGTTGGAGGTCCCAAATGTGGAGAAGCACAACATATTTCTGGAACAAGACTGAAATCCAGAAATGGATGAACAACCAGAACTTTCCACCACAGTTTAAATATGGTGAATGCCAAAAAGAAGAAGGAAAAGACATCATTTGTTTTCTTACTTTCCCAAACTCTCTTTTATAAGAACCTCTGAGTATTTTTTTTAAAAATGCAATATAATCTTCAAAATAGCAGTAACTTGCTGATGAATAATCAGTGTCATTTCATACACATAATTACCGATTGGTTGTCTTATCTGACAGAGGCTCTTCACTTCTTAAAGCTGACTGCTCAGGCTTGCAGCTTTCACGGGGCTGAATGGGATGTTTTTTGTAGGCCGTGTTGTAAGATGTGACCAGGCATGGGCCATAGTCACCACCCGGACGCCATGGGCGATGGGGGCAATGATGACGCCTGAAAAGTGAAAAGCACATATCTTTTATTTGTAACAAATATTCTGTAATATTCAATAAAATATTAACAACAAACAGAGCATTTATTTCTTCAGGTGGTAAACAATGGTATAGAGAGAGTACCACTCTTCAGATATGGAATGAAAATTAAATAAACAAAAAATGCTTGAGATAACTGATGAACAATAAATGGGATGCATTCAAGAAAAGTGAAGAAATAAAAGAATTGAAGAGTTATATTTGGCCCATCCCAAGAAGTAGAAAGCAGAGAATCACTAAAAAGGCACTGAAATGGGAAACCAACAGCTTGAGAAAATGAGGATATCCAAGAGAAACTCTAAAACGATTGTTGCTGAGAAAGGTCAAGGGTGATGGACAGGATTCTATCCATGGCATTGGAATGATTGCACAGAACAGAATGATGGAATAGACTCTGATCCCTAATGTGACTGTTACGGCATGACAGAAAGATGATGAAAAGTAAAAGTCACCTCAGTGTAGACCTGATAAGAACTCACCGGGGACCCCCTGAAATAGTTCTACTTATCAGAAATTTCTCTGATCCAAATGAGAATTCAAGCAACAATAAAAAATTGCCAGGGATAAACAAATTGTTTTTCACAACAAAAATGTGCCACAGCCTAGAATGTCTTAAAAGGTCTGCAATGTATTTGCCTGTGAGATTTCTTGCCCTGCAGCTCTAGTTTAACTCTTTATTAACAGAGCTAATACATTTTGCTTTTTTATGGTTAATGTTGAATAAGTAGTCAGATATTAGACAACTTTTCAAATTGTTTAATGGAAAATTGAATATTTATATTTGCAGAAGTTATAAATTTGACTTATATCCGTAGTGGCACATAATCGTTATAAACAGAATTATAGACGTATATGTGGACATTACCTGTATGTGTGTGTGGACAAAAGTAGGACTGAACTGACAACAGGAAGGTGCACACAGGACATTAAAGAAACCATTACCTTAAAACACGTAAGACAGAGAAAGTGATTGAAGATTTTGTTTCTCCAGCAAATCTGATACCATAAATTTGAAAAATTACAAGACAGTAGAAGCAACTGAAGATTTTGTTTCTCCAGTATGCCTGATACCATAAGTGAAATATGAAATATACAAGGCCCCAAAAGTGACTGAAGATTTCTTCTCCAGCAAGCCTGATATGAATGACAGGACTCTTAAGAGAAGCAAAGTATATTAGCACCATACTCTATCTCACATGTCATAAGAGCTGACTATGGGTGATGCAGGGTACCTTATACGGTAAAATCTATCTACAAAAACTAAATAATTATGAAGAAGTTTAAAAAAAAAAAACACACACACACACACAAAAAGCCAACCAAAATGGGTGAGTGGTCTTTCCCCCAAGATATTATAAGGTATCAAAGGAAAAGCTGGAAAATGCAAAGACTGCTTACTCGCTCCTTTAATATAGAAATATCTCCAGAAAGGACAACTGGAATGTTAGAACTACATACAGGGCAAAAGGTTTGAGGTTTTAAACAACAGATCAACATCGTAGCACACATGAAACCCATTAGTGCTCCCTTCTTCTTCTAACTCAAGTCTGAGTCCGAAGAAACTCAAGACAGTGCACAGGCTCTGTAGCACCAGTGAGGACCCTGAAATACTTTGGGTAGATTTTTATCTCCAAATTTTGCCTGGGCAGTGCCGTTAGGCTACAGGGCCAAAGAAGTATAGTTAGATTTTAAATAAAAATGCTTCTGTGAGAAAACAACTCACAACAGCGAATATAGGTGACACACAGGTGACCTGTACATAGTGTCAACAGATAAGACAGCCTGCCATATTCTTGCTGAGGGCCTAAGTTCCGCTAGGTAATTCCTGATGGCAGAGAAGAAGAACTTAAATCCTAAACTCTTGCATTAAATTAACCAGAATGGCGGACCATTAGATTTTAATGTAAACTTGCGATATTTAAAAAATGTCACAAATACATTGTAGCAGGTTCATTATGCTGAGAATTATACACTGCTGGATTAGTAATAAATTATGCTTGCCAAAAATCTTTAAAAGACCCAAAATAAAAAATAATAATTTTATACTGATATTAATTATATTTTTTGTGGTAATGATCAATTACAAACTGCTTGTAAGAGATTTAAATTTTTTAAGTTTTCCTCTTCTCTTATTTGCTTGCAATATATTAATTATTATCTGTATCTGCAATTTGGCTATCCTCCGAATAACAGTCACGTGACCTAATTTGCGGTTCTCCGGCGACTACCGCCACCACCATGAGTCTCCCACGCCGCTCACGCAGCCTGGATTTGGGCTAAACTAGAAGGCTAGGACTCACGAGCAAAGCTTCAGGAGATGCGTGAGCGGTGTGGGGGACACGTGGCGGTAGTTGCCGGAAAACCGCCGGACAAACACAAATTAAGTCGCCGGAAGTGCGCAGTTGACATGTGACTGTGGCTCGAAAGGATATTTTGCGGCCGCCATCTTTACCGGCCGTTATTCGCAGGATAGTCTGCAATTTTGGGCTCTCCTCCGAACTTCTATCCTCGCATTATGGTGGCCTGAAATATCCGTTCAGGGCTCAGTCCAATGAAAAATGCTGACTTTCTGCCAAGGAACAAATCGTGGCAAAACTAGGATTACTTGACAAGTTCAAGAGACGCAACATTGCAGACAATAGTAGCAGATGATAAAAGTGACCGGTGACAATGTCGAGCGTTTCTGCAGACGATACTAGCAGACGATAAAAGCGACAGTTGACAATTTCGAGACATTACAGACTATAAAAGCGATATGGTGGGTAGACCACGCGCTCCCACGCAGATTAGAAATACTGTTCTTCTGATTGAGGATTTAGCAGCGGTAGATGTCAGACTTCTCGGCATGGGCAAAACGTGATTAAACTCACCGCCGAGAATATCCCCCGCGCCGCTACGCGCGGCGCGGATGGAAAGTTGCAGGAGATGTGGTAGCTGCTGCTCGTGAGTCCCAGCCATCTAGTTTAGCCCCTATCCACGCTGCGTGTAGCGGCACGGGGGATACGGTCGGCGGTGAGGCATAGTCACAGAAACAGGTCAGCAAGTAACACATCACTGCGACCCTGTTAGAGCATTTGTTTCGTTTTTCCGAGCCAATCCTAGATTTGTCGCGATTTGTTCGTCGGCAGAAAGTCCGACAAGTCCGCATTTCAAATATTTGTTACTCGGCAGAAAGTCCGACAATGGAAAGTGTCAACGGTCGCTATTATCGTCTGCTACTATCGTCTGCAGTGTTGCATCTCTTAGAACTGTCAGGTAATCAGAAACAATCAGAAACAGGTCTGCAAGTAACATATCGCTGAGACCCTGTTAGAGCATTTGTTTCGTTATACGGAGCTGGCATATTTTTAATAGAACTGAGCCCCGAACGGAGATTTCAGGCCGCCATAATGCAGGGGTAGAAGTTCGGAGGAGAGCCCAATTTTGTCTCTTGTGTGAACTTCACTCTCTGTTGTAATTCAGTTAATCAGTGACCCGTATGCCAAGACTGCTTGTTCGTCTTCTTCTTTTTCTTCTTCTTCTTCTTCTTTTTCTTCTTCTTTATCATCATGATTATCTTCCTTTACTTCTTCTTCTTCTTCTTCTTCTTCTTCCTCTTCTTGATTAACAAATGATTGAGTTAGTCAATTAAACTACCAAATAAACATCAAAAGTAATTTAGGCTCTTCTTTGAATCGTTCCCCAAAATGGCGGCTTTAATATGATGGCGTTCAAAAGGGAGCTAAATTGGCCAATTTCTGGCCATAAAATATCCAAAAATATCCAAATGCGGGTCAGTTCTATTAAAAATATATGTGCCGGCTCCGGATAATGAAACAAATGGCTCTGACAGGGTCTCGGTGGTACGTTACTTGCCGACCTGCTTCTGCGAGTGTGCCTCACCGCCGAGCGTAGCGGCGTGGATGGGGGCTAAACTAGATGGCTGGGACTCACGAGCGGCAGCTACCGCATCTTCTGCAACTTCCTCCAATTACTGTACTCGTGAGTCCCAGGCACATAGCGCGGGGGATATGCTTGGCGATGAGTTTAATCGCGTTTGGCGCATGCCGACAAGTCTGACATCTACCGCTGCTAAATCCTCCAATCGGAAGAACACAGTATTACTAATCGGCTTTCATCGTCTGTATAATGTCTCGAAATTGGTCAACGGTCGCTAATATCGTCTGCTAGTATCGTCTGCAGAAACGCTCGAAATTTTTGTCAACGGTCGGTATTTATCGTCTGCTACTACTACTGTGTGCAAATGTTGATATTGATTGTCAAGTAATCCTAGTTTTGCCGCGATTTGTTCCTTGGCAGATAATCCGTATTTTAGATATACGCGAACACCGTCGTTCGGATATTTTTTGATATTTTATGGCCAGAATGTGGCATGCCGCCATTTTGGGGAATGAATCAAAGGAGCGCCGTAATTTAAAATGCTTGACTTTACTATACGCCTATTTATATAAAATAAATAAATTTAATAATATATAATAAAATATAATAATAATACAGTATAAAAATTTATAAAAAATAAGATGACTTCTGGAATTTCTTTTCTTTTTGTGTGTGTGTGTTGTATTTTAAATATTTATATACTATTTGGTTTATTCTGATTCTATTTCCTAACAATGTCTCGCTAAACTTCACCATCAGATACTTACCCGCAGGTGCAGATCTCACATATACATCGCTTGACCATTGTTTATTTACTCCCTGCTCTGGGGTAGGTAACGTACATGCGATGAAAGTGGCGCTCAACAGATGAAAGTCTTTGCCCCTTTGGTTACTAAGCGCCGAGCCTAACCTGTTTGTAATAATGGCGGAATGGACACCTAGCAACAGTAAACTTTACAGAACGCCATTCACAGTGATTGGGAGAAGCACAGATAAATTCTATAAAGGATATATTGTAACGCCAGCTTTATAAAAACGTTTTAATATTTTTATTGTTTATAAAGTACTATTACAAAGAATATACTACTAACAGATGCTTAATTGCTGTATAAATGTCTATAATTTCTTAATTTATTTTTAAAATAAACAAATGTCAATATATTCTCCCCATAATGTAAACAATCTAGAAACAAGGGAGTATACTCCTCAGCAACACGTTCTTTATTAGCTCAGAAAAGTGGATAGGGTCGGGGGGAAACAATGAATTATAACATCTAGAATATCAACGTATTCACTTTTCATATTTTTGTTTTAGCCTTCTATCTCGTATACGGCCAATTAAACATAAACTCTGACCGGTACAGCTTAAAAATAATTAGAGGATCGACTTCACTGCAGCTAGCTTCTTCTTCTTCTCGCCTTCACCGACTGTAAACTCTGGCAGCAAGTTCAGGCTGTTTATCTGGTCATCTACTTCTAGACGCAGTCTTGCTTTAGAACTTGCGTTTTGAGTGCACACCCGTTTTACCGAAGTGATATGCCTTGGTCTAGGTCTCTTTAAAAAGAATGCAACCTCGCAATTCTGGTACAGACGGTCCTCCATACCATAATGCCAAACTGTACAAGGAAAAGTCGGACAACATCTCTCTTGGTCTACCCTGGCTATTCTTCCTTTCTAATTTTCCTGTTGCCACGTCATAGCGAAAGTAAAGTAAAGGTAAAAGACCCTTTTCCATGCCTTTAGGCATATAGGGCTAGCACTATATTTTATAGACCAATCGGCACAAGTTGGGTGATGTAGTCAGCATCACGCCAGCTGCCTTTACTTCCAAGGACTGCACCTGGTACCCACTCAAGGCTGGTTAGACCTGGGAACCAAGGTCATTTTTTAAGGAAAAAAAGTCCAGCTCCGCTAGGGAGCGAACCCACGACCTTGCGATCCGCGGGCGAGCGTCTAGCCGCTCCGCAAAGCGACTCCAATGTTACGACGTTTTGCACTTTTATATTTCTCATAGTTAATCGACAGGTCAGCCGAGCTGCACAACAAACTCAGCACTGTTGGCTAAACAAGTGCCTAGAATCCCTCATCAGTATGTTTTCCAGCATGTAGCTGATAACGAAGCCTGGTTTGTGTTGGTTTTCTATTCTTCTTGAACATCCTGCATTGTACTCTTGTCTGGCATCGACCCTTTTTGTCTGCTTGCCTTAGTAGTCTGGTCAAGACTGTGGATTCACAGTCATTATTTGTGTATTCTTTAAATCTCTTGGCAACTTCAAGCATAATCCTGTTCGATGTCCAGCCTGTTTTCCACAGTAGCCATGTCAGTAACCCTGTCGGCTTGTTCGTTTCGAGAATGATTACTTTACAAGTGGCAAATAAAGGCAGCAGGTCGACACCTTTGACTTGAAGCCCCACCCTGGCTTTTGCCGGGGTCACAAATAAAGCAGGTCCATAAATATGGCCTATCAGCTGAACGGGGTTTCCGTGACCTCTCCAGAGGTTATCCTTATCCGCATGGTGGTACTTTATGTCAGCGGGTGTCTATCGCTTTGTGTGATTTCTTGGTGGGGTACAACTTACATACATACATCTGTGACTTGAGGATTATGCAGGAAATTTCATCAAAATTTCAAATGCCGGATTTGATTCAGCTGCAGGCGATATGGCAGCAGACTGCTTTGCCTTGATTTCGAAAATGGTATGAGCGTCGATTGTATAGAAAACTACTGCACTTGCTTTGTGATGTGCTGAAAACAAAATGCAGCTAACAGTTAGTTATTTTTGTTTTTGTTAAAAAGAGTGATGTTCTGAAAGGGTCCTCAAACTTATGATGAGTATCTGCACGATGAACACAAATAAATGCTTTCCTACTTCAGATATCTCTCTCTCTCTCTCTTTCCTTCTTCCTCTACACATCAGCTCAGAGTTTACTGGCAATTACATACGTTTTTGTTGGCAATTGTTGGAATATTCTGTATCATAGTTCACCCCCATCAAAGCAAAGTGATTAGTTCGAAATTTTCATGTCAAGGACATAATCGGGTTTATGGGTAGGTCATTACTGTACGTTAATTATCGATTTAATGAATCTGAATTAGGAGTAAGTCACATATTTTCAAATCAAACTAACCCTTTTGCAGACCGAACCCACTCTTTTGCAAAAAAGAATTAAATCTTTTGCAAATGAAATTCACAAGTTTTTCAACAACAATTTCTTGGTCCGTCATAATAAAAATGAAATCCATGTCGTTGATGCATCTTTGGCCTCTCTCAAAAACGTTCATCCTAGGGGTTTCTTTTGGCTGTTTAGTTTTCTCAGTCTTTTTGTTTGGAAGAACAAAGGAAGCAAACGAGAATGCGGTCAATGCCGAGGCATCTCTCTTTTAAGCCATGTTGGCAAAATGTATGCCAAGATAATAGAAACAAGACTGAGACCAGTAATAGAACCACAGCTGGCAGAAGAATAGATGGGATTTAGGAGAAATAGAAGCTGCACAGATGCAATCTTCACACTTAAACAGTTAATAGAAAAGAACATTGAATACAATAAGAACTTATCTGTGGCCTTCGTAGACCAGGAGAAGGCATTTGACAGAGTCGACAGGCAATTATTATGGAAAGTAATGGCAAGATATGGAGTAAGCGAACACCTCATCGAAGTGTGCAAAAGTTTATACAGGGATTGTAGAAGTGTAGTTAGAATAAATCAGGGAACATCTCATCCATTCACAGTAACATCTGGAGTAAGACAGGGGTGTGTCTTATTACCACTGCTGCTTATCACCGACATTGACAGTATATGCAAGAATGCCAAGCCCATGAATGAAAATGTTAGTAAGATCAACGAATTACTCTTTGCAGATGACCAGACCCTGATAGTAGATACAGCCATGAAATTGCAACAACATCTAACATCCATGAATGAAGAATGTAAAACAAATAATATGAGAATCAACGCTGAAAAGACAGAAGTAATGGCAATAGGAAAAAAAGAAGACAGATCTAAACATAGCAATAGAATACAAAGGCATACAGGCATCTGAGTTTAAATATCTGGGAACTACATTTACCGAAGATGGGAAATTGGATAAAGAAATTAACATTAGATGCAGTAAAGCAAACCAAGTATTGGGACAGCTAGCTCCCATCTTACAGCATAAGACAATCCCAATCAGCACAAAGAGACATCTTATTTAAAGCATATTTATTACAACTCTGTGCTACCAGTGCCAGACATGGTCACTCACAACAAACCATAAAAGAAAATTAGTAACCATGGAAATGAGATGTCTGAGAAGGGCTGTAGGAGTGACCATAAGAGATAAGATCAGGAATGAGATCATAAGAGAAAAAGTCGGCACAGAACTAATTCTAAATTACATACAAAGACAGCAAGTGAAATGGTTTGCCCACTTAGAGAGAATGCCTTGTGACACCATACCATACAAAGCATACATGGAAAGAGAAGAAGGACGTAGAGCAAGAGGTATACCAAGAACAATATGGAAGGATAACATCAGAGAAGCTCTACAACAGCACGATGTGCCTATGGTCGAGGCAGCCAGAAGAGCCAGAAACAGAACCTTATATCTCTCTCGTCACCAACAGCGGTAAAAGAGGAAGTGAAGAAGAAGAAGAAGAAGAAGAAGACTTCTTTTTGTTTCCTACTTCATAACTGTGCGTCCCAATGTCGGAAGCATTTTTTTGTTTTGTTTTAAAGCTCCACCCTTGCTGCTGCCGGGGCCCTAATATAACCCAATCTATGGGTCTCCAAAGTTGAGACCTCCCTTCACAACGTTGATTGCGGGACCGAAAGGCAATGATAAAATTGTTTTTGTGCAAGAATTTCTAAAACATCTGGGCGATATGGTCGACCCTGTACCAGAGGATATTATTTGGTGCTACGGGAAATGGCAACCCCTGTATGACAATATGGAGGGTGTCATCTTTAACGAAGGCTTGTCCGATATGGAACAATAGTGAGGTGATTGGCGACGTATAGTGATTATAGACCACAGCAATTCAACTGGCGGCCCGCGGGCCAAATATGGTCCGTGGAGTCCTAGCAATTGGCCCTCTGATCCTTGCCCAAACAGGGAAATGTACGTAGTTATCAACAACAACAAAAAATTTAATTAATTAATGTTTCTGTAAAAATTTTCAAAAACCAGTTGTCTCAATGGGAAATGTTTGTCAGGAGTCTCTAAATGCGAAGATACAAGGGAACCGGTGCAGGGACAGAGTTCACGGTAAAAGTTAGTTCAAATAGCAGAACTCGTTTTTTGTAAGCTAAAGGTAAAAGATAGGCTGGAAAGAATCAAGTAACGGGTAGGAAACAACCGCTCCACTTGACAGTTAATGAAGATAAGACATTTATTGGACAGGAGGGTGTATAAGAATACCAGAACAGTCCTGACAGTTAAAACTTAGATTACCGAAAAACTCACATAAATTGTGACCACTATTAGTACACATAAACTAATGACATTGAGTGCGGCAGAACGTGAGTGACACTAGACACCGTGGAACACCTGCTAGTGATCTTGTTATCAAATTATAATCAGATTTTTCGTGAATGTTCAGTCACACACGAGTCACAACCAGAAGAATCAAGAAAGAAGAATCAATATGTTTTCCAAGAAACTATTCTCATATCAAGGCAGAAAAGTATAAGGAAGTGTTACATAACAGTGCATTTTTGGCAAATATTTTTATTTTTTTTAACGATTTTTTGCTGATTTAAACACCCTAAACTTGCAACTTCAAGGAAGGCACAAGATAATCGTAGATCTGGTTGCAAAATTGAATGCCTTTTGAGATAAGCCACCTTTGTTTGTAACGGATCTCCAAACAGCCAAACTTCTTCATTTTCCAAACCTGAAGGATTTTATTTTTTCAACATTTGACTCAGCAACCATAACCAATGGAATGATTTAATTATTTTAAAAGCTCCAGAATAATTTCAACAACAGATTTGAAGACTTTAATATCCCAAACAACGTAATGCTGTTCTTCAAGATCATTTTAAAATCCCTAATGCGGATGATTTTTCTTCAAATACCAAGAAGCTGTTATCTCTATTGATGAAGGTTCTCTGTAGTTAGAACTTGTGGGTATCAAAAGCTCAGCGCACTGAATGCAGGTTTTCAAGGAAGGGGCACCACCAAGTTTTGGTCCGAAAGGAACAGTTTCCTAATGCTAGAAATGTTGCCGTATTCATACTCATCTTGTTTGGTTCAACTTTCACTTGTGAATCAAGCTTTTCACAAATGGATGTCATCAAGACAAACAGTCGGAGCTCACTGAGCAATGACAGGCTGCAGGATTGCATGAGAATTGCTGACTTCACACTAGCCAAATGTTATAAAATTAGCTCAAAAAACAGGAATGCAACTGTTTCCATTAATTACATTTTGTATCGCTATAACTTTTGGTTTCTTCTGCACAAAACCACATGAAACGAACTGTGGATAGTTATTATTATTATTAGTATTATGACAATGCAGTTAAAGTGACATTGCTAACCTTTATTTATAATCCCAAAGAATAATTGGAAATACCTGTTTATCAATTAAACATGAGTATTAATTAATTATTATAAAAGATTGTAGTACACTTTACATTATAATGGTTTACAACGGTTGCATTTACCGTAGGCTAGGCCCTAGACGTAACAGTTTTAGAGTGTATTAAATTTACGCTTTGAAATAACTGGTCAATTGTAGTTTGTTAGTAATTTTCACACTTGGGCTCAGTCCACTGGCCCGCGACGATCACCATTTTCAACATTCTGGCCCGCAAGTAAACTTAGTTGAACATCCCTGACATAAGCTATAGGAATCCTATACTTTGCAATCTCGTTCAACTTCACTTATGTAATCTGCATGTTTTTTCCTAAAAAAATCTAAAAATTGTTTGATACGAGGTAGTTGAGGTCAAAGGCAAGTGTGAAAAGCAACCCCCCCCCCCCCCCCCTCTTCCTTTTAACCTCCCTTGTTTCCTAGATCACTTATGGCCAGGGATGATCTCCCTCCTCTCCACTGCACAAAGCATTGGCATTACTGTAGAGGCCTATATGTGTCGCACATACATCATGATCCCTCTTTAAGCCTGCCTTGTTTACTCCAAAGGAAAAGTAACACCAATATGTTTGGAATAAAGCATGCTGCAGAAGGTGCCGGATCAGAAAAGCAATGCTTTGTCTGTCAGTCAGAGCTTCCCTCCTAGACCAGCAGCCAACGAAGACAAGGGGCCTGGTCTGTCCTGACATAACATTTATTTTTCAGGTTGCGTTTCCTTTTCCCTAGGTTAAGGCTAGTATCCTTCCCTAATGTGCCCCTCCACCCAAAGCTGTTGGCATAGCTTCATAATTACAGGCTGCTCCAAAATAATAGTTGTATTGCTGCACAGTGTTTTGGGGATTTGTACCACTTTGATTCTCCTCTTAACGCTACAGTCAGTAATGCTAGCAGTGAAATAATAACAGAGAAAGAAAAATATGTGACTGATCAAACTGACATATTAATGTTCTGTGAAAGTTTACAATGATTTTCTAAACCTGGTTTTTACATATTTAGAACTGGTTTCAATTTACACACTAGTAAACAGTACCAGTACTTATAACCCAGCTGGTATACACATGCTTCTATTCATGTATGCATGCACACACACTCACACATAGATACTTTCTATTGATGTTAGGTCTCTCATAGTTTTATCTACATTTCATGTCATATTCTGCCTGTTTTTCAACCATGGTACATTTCTGTTTGCTTTTGATTCTGTTTGTCGGGGTCTGTGGCTGAGGCGTTGCGAACGTGCTTCGTAATGCCAGGGTGCCGAGTTCAATCTCATCTGCGCGCCTTGCACCTTGTGTTGGTTTTTACAGTGGTATCCAGAAGCCGACCGTCCAGAAGCACTGGCAAACTACTGGACGTAAACTTGCCTAGAAAAACCACAACAGCCAAAAAATGCTGGGGTTGGTTCTGCAGCGTCCTGTAAAGGATACGCAACTAATTCAACTTTGATTTTGTTTACAAAGTAGCATGTCTTTGCAAATATTAATTATTTTATCACATTTCAACAAATCACCAAATTTAGTCTCGTATTCTTGGAATCATTTAAATCAACCAAAATATCTTTTTACATATTTGTCCCCTCCTATCGCAGCTTTCTTCTCTGAAGACAACCAAGAATATAATTTTTTACCTTAATTCATATAGGCTTTGCTAATTATTATAATAAACTATTTTTAGCTTTTGTTTCTCATGAAATTAGATCAGCTATAAAGAATAAATTATACTTGTCACATTCATTTTCCTGTTCAACATATATATATATATATATATATATATATATATATATATATATATATATATATATATATATATATATATATATATATATATATATATATATTTATATATATATATAACTATATATATATTTTTTTTTTTTTTTAAATACCTTGATTGTTTCTACTATTCCCCATATTTTTGTGACCAATCCTTTATTTATATTTAAAAAGTCAAATTAAATAAATGAACCTCTCTCTCTCTCTCTCTCTCTCTCTCTCTCTCTCTCTCTCCTCTCTCTGTCTCTCTCCCTCTTTCTCTCTCTCTCTCTCATACACACACATACATGTACACACACATACACTTTCATGCATGCACACAACAATTAATTATTAGATCATTTTCATTTGGTTATATAATTTGAATAACTAAATGCTTCTTTAAAAAGGTAATATTATGTTTTATAAAAAAAATGGTCAGAAGAGTACCACAATAAACATATTTAAAATAATACCAAGAGTATTACATTAAGGAGTTAAACAATAGTCACTCCTTTGCAACAAGAATTCAAACACATACAGGCACGCACACACACACGTACTGTATTAGGGACAACTGTAAAATGTTAAAGCTGGCATGCCATGCTTATATAACACATTAATTTCTTGTTAAGTAAATATTCTATACTGAACAGGTGAAGTGAAGCTGTAAACGGGCTGACAAAAACAAAAACACACAAAAAATCCTGCTCAGGCAATATAAACTCTTTCAGTTCCAGAAGGTTCCGTTAAACAATTCAATTAAATAATTACTACACACATTGTAGGTAATAGCCTACATGTGATGATGGAAAATGCCACTGGAGTCACTATATACATTTAACTCTTTCAGTACCAGGGAACTCACAGTGCACTCATTGGTTACTCTTTATATGGTATTCTTTACTTTTTATGTTCAATAAAAAAAATTTCAACTCATTATATTTCAGTTATTGGATCAACTGCTACTGCCCCAAAGCTGTCATTTTAAACTTCAGTGTTTAAAAGAAATTATTGCCCAAAGATACAAGAATGATAGAATAGACATTGTTCAAGTAACAACTACCTGGTCTGAAAAGTGTAATGTGCGCTGACTCAACAACAACACAAAATAATAAGACACATCTTTTGATGTGTAAGCCCCAGCATTTAAGAAACAAATCTTCACAGATTTCTTAGCGCTGAAGGAATTAGGGAGTACATAGAATACAATAATGCAGCACTTGTATGCTTTATGAAATATATAAATCATCAGATTATCTTGACTATGAATGGATCCATCATTAGATGAAAGTTGGCTGCAATCAATCTCCAAGACACTCTCTCTCTCTTTTGTCTTGGCTGTACACTCTTTAAGACTGTTGTTTGTCCATATCGTGAAGTTGACAGCCCATTTGTATACCTTGTCTTCCTCTTACTCTCTTGGTCACTACCTTTCCCTCCCTCTAGTATGGTTTTTAAAAGCATATTTTGTCATTTAATGCGATCAAAATATTTCAATGTTCTCTTTTTTATTTGTGTCAGTAATTCTCTTTTCATTCACAGTCTTTCCATAACCTGTGTTTCTTATATTTTTGTTTCCATGAAATATGACATATTCTTCTGTATGTCTACATTTCCAGAGACTCAATCCTGTTTTCTACTTGACTGTTGATTGTTCCAGGTTTCTACACCATACAGTGTTGAGTATACATAACGTTTGATGATTCTCATTTTTAATGTTTTGTTTCTCTCTCTAGCTGTCAAAATAACATCTTACTGAAGATAGTTTTAGCCAGTCCTATTATCTTTTTCATTTCTGTTTCACTTCTGCCATCATGTCTTACAATGTGTCCAAGTTAAGAGAAATTTTTCTTGTTCTAATATTTCTCCATTTACTGTGACGTTTACTGTTGGTTGCTCTTTTCCATTGTTAACATAATATTGTTTTTTTAAAAAGTATTATTGTCTAAAACCTACTCTGCACTTTTCCTGTCGACTTGATCCACTAGGCCTGGAACTTCCATCATTGCTGTTATGCTAATCTTCTTCTTCTTCTCTGCGTTCACTGGCTGTAAACTCCGGAGGAAAGTTCTGGTTGTTCGTCTACTTCTAGACTGCAGTTCTGTTCCAGAACCTGAGTGCTGCGTGTGCATCTGTTTGACACATCTAACTAATTTGTATGCAGACTGTTGGTTCCTTGCCTCTCAGACAGATGCACTCCGATTTTGAACGAAGCTTCTATTTACTTCACTCTTACGACATGCTTTTGGGTAGGCAGTGGGTCTTTTCTTGTTTTCTCAATATAGGGCCCAAGAATCCACATGGGAATCTTATGTTAATCATAGCTGAGCTTATGGGAAAGGTACAGATAAAGATTAATAGTAGCAGGAGAGCTGTATACACATTATGAAGAATATATTTGATTCAACAGAAAGTTATAATACTGGCAATAAAACAGTTCATGCTATGTATCAGAATAAAATGAATTTGGGGTGAGAGGCTGTTCATCCGTTTCACTTGTATCCAGCAATGGGTTTCTGTACATTGTTGTCCCTTTATAGAACATATTATTGCGCTGAGGATAAAGCAGAACACCAGGAGATAAATCACAACTAATAATTTTCAGACATAAGCAATATAGTTTTAATGTACAATATGTTTTACTTCAAATCATGATTGGTAATGATATTGTGATTAATTTGTAAGTGGATAATACAACGTCCAGTCAAAAATGTGAATTCAGTAATTAGTTACAGTCTACCTTTGTTTCAAACTGCAACAAGGTCTGGAGTCAACACTTGTTTTTTTTTTATTTTCCTTTTATAATCTACCATGTAAAGTTAAGGATCCTTCTTCAAACCTTTAGGCTCAAAATGTTGATGTTGAATTAAGAATCCACCTCACAGCACTTGGGACATTCCCATAAATGCTCTGTCCCCATGCTTTCAGAGTCTGTTACTATTACAACATGTGTATGCATCTTGTTCTCTAGCTCCCTGAGAGCTGTAGTCACAACCTCCATTCTCATGCTAGATGTTGTATTTTCATATGCTAGGCTGTCTTGCACTAAAGATTTTCCATTGGCTTTCATTACGAACCCCCAGGCACTTCTCTTTCCTCTCAACACCGAACCATCTGTTTAGATAATCAGATCACATGGGCGTGAATTGTTGTGAATCAACTTGTGAATCAGCTCTGGTGATACCTTTTCATGATCATTCTATTCCAAAGCTTTTGATTTGTCATTCTCCTTTATTTCATTGTGTGTATCGATAGATCTGTACACTAGTGTGTTATAACTATTGTTCTTGGTCCATCCCTTCCATTGTTCCCAAGCATCTGATCTCCTTAAGTGTTTCTATTTAAATTCTTTTGTGACCAAGCCATAAAAGTATGTGTTTTGAAGAAAAAAAATACTATTATTTATTTTGTCAATTCAGCCAGGCCTTATCATTTTTCAACAGCACCACATCTCACATGCTTTTTACATTTTCATCACATTTATTCAATCAAATTATTTCAATACCATATAAATTTGACTTGCCAAATGTACACGCGGAGGTTAAAATTATAATAATCACAAAATCAATTGTACTTTTACCTGTGCCCACTGGCATATTCGCATGTTTTCTTGAAACTTGGCATACACAACTCTGTCAATAAGGCTAACAAGCATCTTCCAGAGCAGAAGCAGGAGGAAGCCTATAATGACCACACCACCACCAACATAAGCAGGTACTGCTGCTATAGCCATTATGCTTGAGCAGGCTGTGGAGAGTTTAAAACATGTGATCAAGCTTCAAAGGCCTTGTAAAGTAAATTTTATTAATTAATTTACAGTTAGAACTAAAAGAGAGAAAAACAAAATTGTGAATTCAGATAGATAAAACATACAAGCTTACAAAAGAATGGAGAAAAACACCAAAAAACAACTTAGATTTCTACTAAATTTTATATTAAATCTGGTAATTTTGAAGATGTAAAGGCAACAATTACTTACTTTGGATTTAATTATCATCTTATTTTTCAGGTACCTCGTCTGCAGTAGACACAGATGATTAAAATCTTTCATCCTATCATTTGATATTTTGATGATGCTGGTGTTACTTCTATTATTTATTGTCCAGCTGTTTGTGTTTTCTGCATACATCAGTTTGTCTTTTCTGCCTTTCTTGTTAATTTTTTTCCATAGAAGACTTTCTTTTTCCACCTCTTCTGTTGTTATATATTTTTCCTATAGTTTTCAGTTGTTACACATGGTACTTTCTTAGAATTCTTCTTATTTCACAGAAACTTAATTTTAAGTTCTTTTATCTTCTAATGGAACAGGTTTTTGACCATACCACACTAAGCCCTTTGTAGACTAGTTTATAACTGGCTGGATATGACAGCTACAGTTTTCTAGAGGAAGAGATCACCAGTCCCCTTATACAAATAAACTGCCTCCGAACAACCATGTTGTAAGAGGTGACTGATTAGGGTTTTGCTGAAACTGGATGTGCTTAGCTGAAAGGTGCAAAAATCACAGCCTAGTTGTAAACTCAACACAACATGCCAACCACTCTTTTAAGGTTGAACAGAGAAGAAGGCAGCTAGTTACTTCTAAGGGCTTCAGGCATTTAGTTTAACTACTTCTAGTGTGACGATGGAGATACCAGTTGTCACATCAGCACTTGCTTGGTTGGCAGAACAGAAAGAGACTCACATATTGATAGTGACAGACTCAATGAGCCTACTTTAAAAGATCCAAACTTGCGAACTCTTGACTAGAATGGGTCCACAGCATCCAGAAGTCTCACCAGAAGTCTCACCTCAAGAAACTATCTTGGCTGTTCACACCAGGACATGATGAGGTGAAAGGAATTAAAAGGGCCAACAAACTGGCTGGTGTCTGAAGTAGGTAGTGGAGAAAGAAGTATGGAAGTGTCAGATATACTAATTAGACTGCATTCCAGGGAATGATGTGACAAACTAATCTAAAATGATGAGCTACCTATTGGAAATGAGTATTAAAGAAGGATAAGCAAGCAGAAACTCGTTGCTGAGAAAACAAGCTATGCCAGTAAGCTCTTTCTGGGTACAGCGAGCATGCAGACATTGAGATGTCTGCTGCATCAGAGGATGGAGCAGGAATGGGCCAGGCCAGTATGTTAGGATGTTGAAATGGACAACAAGTAACAAGTAACCCAAGGGCTTAGTGCAAGTCATTTGAAGACCCACATTTCACTGGGAGCTGTAAGGCAGAAAATATCAGTCTGTCACCCAGCCACACTGGACTCCAATGTAACTGTGTTATACAGTTGAATGAATCTGCTCTTCTTTGACTCTGTGACGAAATGACCTCAGTGTTTTCAGAGGTTAGTATGTGTAATAATTTATTCTGGTTATAGAGAGACAGAGAATTATATTTGCTATGCTCTAAGTCCGAATCAAGTACTAAAACCACATGGATTTAATTGTTTCCAGTCCTTGAGCCAGACAAAGCAACCAAGCTTTGTGTAATATTACCTAACATTACCTTATCTAGCTATTCGTTTTACAAGCCAGTGTCATATAATTATCTCCCGACCACAGACCTTAGGGGCGAGCAACTGGGAATAAACTAAGTATCACACCTAAGATTATCTCCCATGAACCCGACCTTAGTGTCATAGTGGTTACATAACCAGCCAGACTGGGCCCTTTCAACTGATAAAATAAGGGTAATTAACCTGGTCAATTAGGAAAGTCCAGACATGACGGCATCCCCTGGATGGCTTTTCACACCTGTCAGTTAAATTGGCTGGAGAACAGATGTTTACCAATTAAGAATGCTCCTAGTGGTGGTTGTCAAGAATTGACTGACAGGCACCTTGATAGCTAATTTGATCTGCAAGGTACTTCCGGGGTGTGGCTAAGATCTTCTCCGATAGGACAAGTTGAATACTAGAAAGGGAAGGAGTTAATTTTGCTAGAATACTGCGAGCATTTTAAATTTACCTCATAGTGCTGCCAGCAAAGCCACAAACTCAGACCTACAGTAGGAAGTATTTTTAGCTGATTGAGTCTTGTTTGGCACTTGCTGAAACGTTCCCAGGTATGAGTGTATATATATTTTTCATAGGTTAGGAGATAGCTTAGTCTATTCTTCCTTTCCTGATTTTTCTACACATTCTGCTTGAAATAGTTCTTTGTTAGTATTCAGTTATCTCAGTTAGGGAACTGCTAAACCATTCATATTTCTTGTATGTTTGTATCACATGTTTTTCAGTGTATGTTTTCATATGTATAAAATAAGATGTGAACAATGACATTTGTTATAATGAAATGTTATTATTTTGTTTCAATTATCAACCTAAAACATGTGCTTGGACTGTGGGTAAATCATGCCCATATGTGCAGCCATGTGGTTGCGTTTTAACAGCTCACCATGTGCTCACTGGAAAGACAATATTCCAGACAACATGCACATATAAAATGGTTGGAGTTTTCAGCACATAACCTGCTCCACGTGTTCATGTAAAAAACAATGTCAGCCAGTTTCGAAGTCTGAGTGAAGACGGACAGCAGACTTAGGAAGTGAACTATCATGACAGAACATGAGAGGGAAGCCAGGATATGTGACGTCAATGTGAGACATAAGACCTTCAGACTAGACTGGAGAGAATGTGGAAGATGAGGAGGAGAGATGTTATGTATATATATATATATATATGTTGTACTGGTATATGCATGCTTAGTGTAAGTATAGATATTACACATATGTGTTTGTTTCACGGCTCCAGTCGGGGTAAAGACGTCTGCTCTGATAAATGGTCACATGCACGAACATACGTTGTAGGAGATCGGCAAGCTGGGTACACGCGGAGAACAGGCGGGGAACAGACGGAGAAGAAGCTGGAAGAGGTGGTAAAGCTTGACATTGCCTCATGGCTGTCAGATGTATATATGAAAGTTACGTCCACACATTGTTCGTAAACTTATCACCATCATCATACCACTCTAATCCCAGTTTCTCAGTTTTCTAGCTGAAGCATCTCATCACTTTCATACCATCATCCAGTCCCTGTTTGTGTAAACACTACAAACTGGTTAATTTCATTTAAATGATTGTTAGTAAATAAAGCTGTATGTCAAGTTTTATACAACATCGTTTGTTAAATTCCAAGTGTATTCAGTCTTACCTGTTTAACTAAACAGTTAGATAAAATTACATTTGGTGGGGCGCTTTAATTATTAATACCAGGAGAGGAGAAAATCGAAGGGTTTAACTGTGTATCTTGATATCTCATTGGGTTGATCTTGATATCTATCTATCCCTTCTCCTACTCCTGTGGGTACCAAGTGCAGCTGTTGTGTATTTACATGATGAGCCGAATATGGCTGTTTTCTTGGATATCCAGGACTTTGTCTGAGATCAACCAAGCTCAGATAATAGTCTAGTTCCTCTGGTGGAGGTGAAGTGTTGAGAGGAAAACTCCTACTCATCACAAAAGCATCAATCCACTTTGGGACCTGCCACAGACTCCTATCCTTGAGATGTTAATCCTCTGCAATGCAGGGGGAAAGGGGGAGAGTGAAAAAAACCCAAATACATGACTATTAGCTGTTATGAGTCATGCTTTAATGAACATTCTTTGGTCACTTTTTAAACGCATAGTAGGTTATAGGGTTACTATTTTTTGCTTTCCTGGTGGGCTTCAAAATACACAGGTACAAGAACTGATCTGCCATAAATGTAACTTTGTTTTGGCCCAGAAACTTATTCTTCGGAAATTCATGTGGTCTTCTTTTGCGCTCCACATGTATATGAGCATTTTGCATTTACATGTTGCACTCATTCAAGATTACCTGCCAGTCAGGGAGCTGTGTGGTCTTGAGGCATGGTGTCCGTCTTGAGTGCTAGAGGTTCCGGGTTCAATTCCCGGTAAGGGCTGGGATTTTTTTGCGTGGACTTGAACTTCTAGTAATGTCCACTTGTCTCTGGGTAGTGAGATCGGACGCCGTGTGCTTTGTATTGCACGTAAAAAAATCTCTTGGCAGTTGGAAATTGAAAATAGTAGCCTAACAGCGCTGCCTCTGGCAAAATTTAGAGTTCAAAATCCACCCAAAGTATTTCAGTATCCTTGCCAGTGCTACAGAGTCTGTGCACTGGGCTGAGCTTGATCGGACTTAGACTTGAGTTAGAAGAAAAACAGAACACTTATGGGTTACTACCCGTGTGCCATGATGCTGATCCGTTGTTAAAAAACCTCAAAAACCATACCTGACAGTCAGAAAATCCTGAAACATAGCCCTCAAAATGATGCTTGGCTGAAAAGTTTGCGAATTATAAAACCTACGCATAGACTATTTAAAGCATCTAAAATTGACAGAAAGTAATGAGGATATTAAAATTTGGTATACAAATGTTTTGGTCAAATAACACAGTTTCAGTTTAGTGATACAGCACAATCAGCACCCTATTCAAGATGAACAAGGAGGAATGAGAAAATAAAAAAAAAATCACTATTCAAGAGGTGTAACCCAATAGCGTCTGCAAAGTTAAAATGATTTCTTCAATGAACAACTAAACGGTTTTCCACTCACTCGAAGTTTTCTGGACAAGTAAGGTAATGTTGGCTTCATTCATAATGATACGGAAAGACAGGAAACATCTGGCAGTTTGTGCCACAGTACAAATGCTAGATCCATCAGTACCTGTGAACATATACATGAATATTTTTCAAAAGATTCTTGTGTTTTCATACAATTAATTATGTTGCATTACTCTGTGGTCTACTACATTTAACTTTTAAGACTATTTCTGATTTATTTGCATTTTACATCCAGCCTTTTACTGTTTTGAGTCAACAAAGAGGGAACAGGTTTTTAATATTTTTAATTTTATATTTATATCTTTATATTTGTATCTGGCTAATTGGGACTTTTGATCTCAAATTTAGGCTTCTTTGTTTCTCAGTTTTTTCTTTTCTTTTGATCTACCTTCCTCCTCCTTTGATAAGCGTTCGTTATTTGCCTTATCTCTGTTATAATGTATCTGATTTGTCAGTTCAATAATGTAACATAACATAATCTATCACATGACCTCTTAGGGTCATGCAGGTGTATTGATGGAAGCACTAGCACAAACTCATCCCCCGCCCCTAATCTTTCTCTGTCTTCAGCTTGATGAAATAGTGTAATAATTTAGACTTGTCCATTTGCTAATGTTCTCATTGCATGTTCTTTTCTGGTCCCCTCTTCTTCAACTAATCCCCCCCCCTTCCCTAAAAGTCCACTGAAGTATAATCTTTGCTGTTTAATCATACCTCACCACATTCCCAAACCAAACCAGATTGCACCGTTTGACCAACTCAAAAGAAGTTCCTCATGTCCTTACAATTGGTTTGTCTCTTGCATATTTATAAGTGTTAGTTATAAAAGATAATTAGTCAAACTCCCGACATCTGTATAAGAAGATAGACAATACCGGTGATCTGTATATACTTATCTTTACTGTGATTTAGCTCTTCCACATCAAATTCAGTTGGGACATCGTGGCTGTTACCATATCAAGACTGTCCTAATCTCTTTTGCACAACTGCTATTGCTACATGTGTAGAAGCCCAGGTATTTGAAGGATTCAACCTCTTCAATTTTTAGAAAAAAACCTTAACCCTTTATCTGTATGTTGATAGGTCTTGAGTGTCATGGCTATTTACAAGTGGTTTGCTTTTCTTGACATTAATTTCCATGCCATATTTACCACAGACTGCCTCAAGTTTTGTAGTAAGTAAGTAAATTTTACTCCACCAGGACATCACACAAGCGATAAACACCAGGTGACACAAAGTGCCACCATGCAGATGAGGATCACCCGTGGAGAGGTCCCGGAAACCCCGTTTAGCCATTAGGCCACATTTAAAACCCGGGTAAAAGCCACTGTGAGGCTTCAAAACAACTAAAAATTGCATCCCACAAGGGGATGGTGATTTTATTTTTACTGAAAAGTTTTGATGTAAGATCTTCTTCAGACCTAGCCAAGAGATCAGTGTTGTCCATGAAATTAAATTACACAGTGGTCTTCCGCCATTGGATATAGATGTTAAATGATTTTTTAGTGTTTCTCTCAGGATACAAACTGAAAACCACCAGGGATAATATGCAGTTCAGTTTCTTCTGTTGTCAGATCTGTTGTATATTTTTCATCTAATTTTCTCTATTGTATATTCTTAATCTAATTCTTCAATATTTTCATTTATTTCCGAATGTAATGTTTTACCCGAGTAAACCATATAATATATTATGTCAGCATTTTCAGCATCAAGTTCCATAACAGCATCTTTAGGATTCTCAACACCGGATTTGATTTCATTTGATTTGATTCAATAATCACAGCACTTTGGGCACTCCCATAAGCGCTCCTTCCCCATCTTCAGCAGCCAGCGAGGAGTTCCGATACTAATGGTGCCAGTAGCATTCTGATTAAACGTCCGTCTTGCCTTTCCTCTGAGCCTCGAGCATCTGCCAGAACCTCTCGTCACTCCCAACTGCATCTGTCTCACCAGACTGTGGTGATCGATCTGCTCCTCCGCACTGTACACGCTCTCCCACAAGGCACTAACCACTTCTGCCTTATCATGCATCAGTATTCCACCAAGCTGTGCAGAGCCAGCCAGTCTGTCCGCCTGTTCATTTCCCAACACACCGGCATGCCCTGGTGAAAAAATCCAGACAATGCTTCTCACATGTGTCTTCCGTAGCCAGGCATGCCACTCTGCACGAAGCATACCTGTCCTGATCTTCCTCAGCATGCTTTCTGAGTCAGTTACAATCACGATATGTGTGTGTCGTGTTCTCTAGCCATTGTAAAGCTGCAGTGACAGCCTCCACCTCCATTCTTGAGCCTATGCTAGGCTCTCCTGCACCAAATGTCAACCATTAACTTATGCTAAGAAACCCCAAGCACTTCTTTTGCCTCTTGACACTGAACCGTCTGTGTAAATGATCAAATCTTCTGAGCAAGCATTATCTTGAAACACCGGAAACAAGACTCATTATCTTGCAGCTGCTGGCAATAAATTTTCCAGCCTGGATTAAGTGTCCTAAAACTGACACACTGTCCCATACCACAGCAGTGACTTGAATAGTATGCAGGATATAATAATGATCCTTTCAAAATTCTCCCATAGTCAGATTAATAAGTGGTTGCTTCAAAACATCTTTGGAACATGTGTTTTATATAACAACTTCTTTAAACTTGATATGGCCTGTTGGCCCATTGGTTGCAAAGCATATGTGTTGTTTCCACTAAAACATTCTTTAGCCAAATCCAGATTCATTAGCAGAGGTAAAAAAAAAACAGCTTAAAATATCTCTGCTAAAGCTTTGTTAGCCAGGTGTTTTGTTAGCCCAGACATCACTGTATTTACATCGTTAATATCACCTTCTATAGTGTTGACAAGCTCAGTTTGTGGGCAGTTCTCAGGACACTGTTCCTGGCCAGATAAAGCACATTCAACACAAGTCTTGTAGAGTGGAGTATCACACACTGTACTGTCACACAACTGCAACACACAGGCAACACACAAATGTTAAGTAATTGTCATATGCTTCTTATTGCTAGTGTATTTTAGAATCCTATTTTAATTACTTTAAATTTAATCCTATTTTAGTTTGTCACATTTAATTTTGTTTGCCTTTCTTGGAAAAAAAACTTTTAATTAATAAAAGGTCAGTGTAAAAGTTATTTTCCTTCAACAAATATCATTAGTTTTTTTTTCCCAGACAGTCATAGTAATCCAAAGCACTTTAGTGGCTAAAAAGTTGTGAAATATATTATTGTGTAATGTAACTGCGTGCTTTTTTGTTTCTTGGTGTTTCTAAAGTTTATAGATACCAATGCTGCTTCTCCTCTCTTCTACTTCAGCATTCTTAGCCCTAAAGGTTTATTGCTGCAGACATCACCTGCCTCCATTCATTTTTGTGATCATGTTTCTCATTTCAAGTTTGAGGTTTGAACAACGTATCAACACCATGGCACAGGAGTAGTAACCCATAAGTGCTCTGTTCTTCATCTCACTCAAGTCTGTGTCTGAAGAAGTTCAGCACAGTGCACAGGCTCTGTAGCAACGGTGAGGATCCTGAAATACTTGAAGTAGATTTTTAACTAAAATATTTTGCCCAGGCAGCGCCGTTAGGCTACTCTTTTCAATTTCCAACTGCCAAGAGATTTTTTTAATGTGCGCAACAATACACACGGGGGGTCCAATTCTACTACCCAGAGACCAGAGAGAATTACCAGAAGTCTAATTTCAGTTGGTGACTAAGTGTTTGTAGTCATATATTATCTCTCCACTGTCTAATGGGTCTGCCTTATGGTCTACTCTACTCTTTTGTGCCCATAGTTTTTGTCTCTCTGTTATTTCCCACTCTGTCTTTATACCCTAACCCCTGCAGTCTATTAACCCTCATGCCAGTATTTAGTGGTGATTTAAACAGATTAGGAATTTTGTTGTGTTGTTACATCTACATTCCATTCTCCGTTGTTTGCATCTTTGATGGTAGCAATTCTTGATAATGGAAAAACAGCATAAATCATCATTATTATCACTAGTCATGACAGAAAGCTTGGAGGTGATCACTGGCCACATCACAAGATAACTATCTTAGATAAGGTCTGTGTTTTTTGTCTCAGTTGTACCATGTGGTCAAGCTGTTCTAGTTTTTTTTTTATATCACAATCTGCTACTTGTTATTTCCCCTCAAGTTTGTCAACTGTTATCCCAGTGTGGATTCTGAGACTCCATTTTGGAGAACAAACAATAGATCCACTGCCTTCCTAACAAGCATGTCATAGAAGGCGACTAATTAGGTGTCATTCCTTCAAAGTCAGAGAGTATCTACCTGACAGAGAAGAAACTAGCTGTCTGCATACAAATAAGCCAGATTTGTGAAACGGATGTCCACTCAAGGTCTGAATCAAGACCAAAGTCTAGGAGTGGATGAACAACTAGAACTTTATGCCAGAGTTTACAGCTAGTGAGCACTAAGAAAGAAAAATTTCCATACAAAATGTCAACAATCTAGAATTTTTAAGCTTTATTTCAAATTTTTTTTGAACAGCTTTTTAAAATGTTCTATCTGTCCATAACATTTTAAAATTTTCCTCGTAATATATTATAAATAGCATGCAGATACTCCAGTTTTATGATCTTTTTTCAATTACAATTGACATTCTATTATTAATTTTTTAATTACAAAATAAGTATTTCATTAATAAACTTACAGAACAGATCTCACAGAACATTCCAATGTACCCGTTTTTACATTTACATCTTCCACATTCACAGAGACCAGCATTATTGCACACTGTCTGTAATACCAAAAAATCTATGTTTAGCTTCCAAAACATATGCAAATATGAATACAACTATTTGAGGTTTCATGCTGCAAATTTAACAATAAAAAGTGAATATGTGATTGATGGCTTTCATATCATGGAAAAAAATCACAGAACCCACCCAAAATGATTGTTACTTCACAACAATCATGTGGCCTAATATAACTGCTATCCTGAACAGAGATTTCTGGGAGTTACTGTTGTTGGATTTTCACCTGTGTTAGTCTTTCAGTATACAAATAGTATGTCTTTTAATGTCGTTAGTCTTTCAGTATGCAGACAGTATGTCTTTTAATATGGTTAGTCTTTCAGTATGCAGACAGTATGTCTTTTAATGTGGTTAGTCTTTCAGTATGCAGACAGTATGTCTTTTAATATGGTTAGTCTTTCAGTATACAAACAGTATGTCTTTTAATATGGTTAGTCTTTCAGTATGCAAACAGTATGTCTTTTAATGTGGTTAGTCTTTCAGTATGCAGACAGTATGTCTTTTAATATGGTTAGTCTTTCAGTATACAAACAGTATGTTTAGTCTTTCAGTATGCAAACAGTATGTCTTTTAATGTGGTTAGTCTTTCAGTATGCAGACAGTATGTCTTTTAATATGGTTAGTCTTTCAGTATGCAGACAGTATGTCTTTTAATATGGTTAGTCTTTCAGTATACAAATAGTATGTCTTTTAATGTGGTTAGTCTTTCAGTATGCAGACAGTGTGTCTTTTAATATGGTTAGTCTTTCAGTATGCAAACAGTATGTCTTTTAATGTGGTTAGTCTTTCAGTATGCAAACAGTATGTCTTTTAATGTGGTTAGTCTTTCAGTATACAAACAGTATGTCTTTTAATGTGGTTAGTCTTTCAGTATGCAAACATTATGTCTTTTAATGTGGTTAGTCTTTCAGTATGCAAACAGTATCTCTTTTAATGTGGTTAGTCTTTCAGTATGCAAACAGTATGTCTTTTAATGTGGTTAGTCTTTCAGTATGCAAACAGTATGTCTTTTAATGTGGTTAGTCTTTCAGTATGCAAACAGTATGTCTTTTAATGTGGTTAGTCTTTCAGTATGTATGTCTTTTAATGTGGTTAGTCTTTCAGTATGCAAACAGTATGTCTTTTAATGTGTTAGTCTTTCATATGCAAATAACAGTCTTTCAGTATGCAAACAGTTTTTATGTGTGGTTAGTCTTTCAGTATGCAAACAGTATGTCTTTTAATGTGGTTAGTCTTTCAGTATGCAAATAGTATGTCTTTTAATGTGGTTAGTCTTTCAGTATGCAAATAGTATGTCTTTTAATGTGGTTAGTCTTTCAGTATGCAAACAGTATGTCTTTTAATGTGGTTAGTCTTTCAGTATGCAAACAGTATGTCTTTTAATGTGGTTAGTTTTATTGCAGACAGTGTGTCTTTTAAGTATGCAAACAGTATGTATTTTAATGTGGTTAGTCTTTCAGTGTGCAAACAGTATGTCTTTTAATGTGGTTAGTCTTTCAGTATGCAAACAGTATGTCTTTTATTGTGGTTAGTCTTTCAGTATGCAAACAGTATGTCTTTTATTGTGGTTAGTCTTTCAGTATGCAAACAGTATGTCTTTTATTGTGGTTAGTCTTTCAGTATGCAAACAGTATGTCTTTTAATGTGGCCACTTTACTTCAGTTGTCTCCTTTATTTTCTCCATTTATTATTTCTCTCGTCATTCATAGTCAGCCCAATAAAGACGTTCTGGAAAGACTGTGAATGAAAAGAGAATTTTTAAAATAAATAAAAAAGAGACATTAGAAATAAGCTGGCCACATTAAAAGATAAAATACACTTTTAAAAACCATACTGGAGGGAAAGGTCAAGGACAAGAGAGAAGGAGGTAGATAATGATACAAGTGGAAGGACAACATTAAGAAACAAACTAACAGCAATCTAAGAGAGTGTACAACCAAGACAAGAAACAGAGTGTTTTGGAGATCAACTGCAGCCAACATTCAGTGTGGAGACAACACCTGATTGATTGATGCAATCCTAGAGATTTAAAAAAAAAAAAAAAGTAAAGTTCCCTTTTCACGCCTTTCGGGGCATATGGGCAGAGCGTCCCATATTTTTACAGACCATCAGCACTCTGTGGGTAATGTGGTCAGCATTACGCCGGCTGTCTTTACTTTCCCAGGACAGCCCATCCTGGTACCCATTTTAGGCTGGGTCGACCTGCGACGTCCCATACCACGACGAAAATCCACGCAGCCTGCACTGGGTTTCGATCGCGGTATGCTGGCTCACGAGTCGGACTCGCAACGCCTTAGCCACGGACGCCGCCAATCCTAGAGATGCAGGGAACTAAATGAATAGATAATATCAACTTCATTTGCCCTAATACCTCCCATCATAAGCTGGGGATCTTGCCCAATGGGGCAAGACGAGCTGTGGGGGACTGATGGCAGCCTTAGCTGCACCATCCTCTTTGTGACCCTACTGGGACCAACTGTTTGGCATGGCTAATATCGAACACAGAAAGAACAACAACAACAAAAAAGAGAAAATTAACCTTATGTACCTAATAATCATATAATAGCTGAAGAAATCCACAGTCTCTGAGTAGGTTATTTCGATCTTTTTTTCTTTGAGAAGAGGAAACTGTATATAATATGTTGTTACACAGGAAATTTGGGAGGAAAGAGAGACAAACGAAAACCAAGTGAGATGATGTTAGACTATCTGGCATCATGTCATGGAAGAAATTTGCATTAAACAGTCCTGTCAGTAAACATGACAGCAGTTTGAAGATGGTTTGATTACTAATGTCAAGCTTGATGTTGTAAGGGTCCTTTGGGAGTGAGTGAACAGTGCGAAGCACAAAGAGACAATTAAGCTCTGAGGAAAATGGTGGTGTGAGGAGTGACCATAGGATCTTGTCAACACTCAAGGGAAAAGTAAGACAGATATGCAATTAGACTGTTACTGGTATCATCGGAACTGGAACTTTTTTCTGCTAAAGATGGGGATGGATCACTTATGGGAATGTCTAGAATGCTGTGATGTTGACACTTAATTTAACATTTAAATAATGTCACATGGAGACTACCGGCCCAGTATGGAGGGCCAGGTATGGCGAATGTTTCACTTCAAAGTTATTATTGCTTTTGACAATACTTTGCCTATGCATTTTTAACATATGGATTGAAGGCTACAGTTAGGCTGCCTAAGCTACTGAGTTAAGTGCTTGGTGCAGTGCTATGAGCTGTGATTTTTCATAAGGATTCATTTGTGCAGCAGCCAAGTTTTATTCAATATGGCCAGTGGTAACCGGTTTATGTTTGGGCCGGCAAAATACCTTGTGTGATAATTTTAAGAGAGAATGGCCAAATTATCGTGACCCACAACTTCCTTCAATGATTAGCATTTTTCCGTCTTTCCAGACAATAGTGTTATATTGCACTACGAGGAGGTATGGACTCACGGCCCATGGTGATGGTGAGTGTGACTAGCAAGACCCACCAGTATCAAGAAAAGTCTTCCACAATGCTAGCATGGGATTTAAAGACTATTGTTGTCAACATTTGTGTTTAGTCTGTTTCTTCTGAGATGCTCAGCTCTCATCCTTTATGCAATCATTTCTTCCTTCATTCTCATTCCTGTCCTGATATGCCCCCTCTTCACTTCCATGAATGACATACTGTATTTCTGGTGATGACTATTGGCTTTGGTGCCTATAGCGACTGCCTTATGTATGTATTTCTGGTGATGACTATTGGCTTTGGTGCCTATATCGACTGCCTTATGTATGTATTTCTGGTGATGACTATTGGCTTTGGTGCCTATAGCGACTGCCTTATGTATGTATTTCTGAACTGTGCCGGGACTAATTGTATGTTCACTTGTTTTTCAAATGCGACAGTGAGGAGCATTTCATTTAATTTTCACTGGCACCGGAACGGAGCAAGTATGGGGTGACCCAAATGCAGTAAAGTTGAAACCTCGACAAAGAGGAAGACAAAGATTAATATCACATGACAAGATTAAGATGAAGAACATGATGAGAGGATACAGTAGGATCAGGAAATATCCCATTATACATGGCATAATCAATGAAGAGAGGGGCATTGAGTCTGAGCTAGACCAAGAACAAGGTGGAAAGAAAGTACTCACTTTATCATACATACATGTGAGGTTGGCTGTGGGACATTCACATGTGGTTCCTGTGTAGTCAGCCTTACAAACACATTCACCACAAGCACAGTGACCACGAGTTCCTGTGAGGACAACATGACAATATACTATGCAAAATGACATCAAAGGTTTTATACTACTTATTCCAGGTGTGGGTTCTGGGGCCCAAACTGGGTGGAGGAGAAGGAGAGACTAGACCCACTGCCCCCCCCCCCCTTTCCCCCTCAAGCATGTCAAAGGAGGCATCTAATTAATGTTTTTTATTGGAATTAGGAATGCATCATCATATCATCATCTCCCTGAGAGGCCAGGAACCAACAGTCTGGATACAAATAAGCCAGATCTGTAAAATGTATGTTCATGCCAAACTCACGTTCTGGAACAAGGCGTAAGTCCAGAAGTGGACAAACAACCAGAACTTTCTGCCAGAACGGTGAACGCTAAGAAAAATAATATGAAGATGCGGCTTATCACTAAAGCTTGAACAAATCGACAGTATTTATAACTATGATAACAGTGATACTGAAATCTCATGCTATATTTATGGAAGACCTTTCTTGCTAGTCACAATCGCCATCACCATGGGCTGTGAGTCCTATGCCTCCTCATAGGACAATATAACACTATCGTCTGGAAAGATGGAAGGGTTCCAATTATAACCATGAACAATTAATAACAGATGACAACACAGCATGACACTATCTTATATGCAAAGTGACATCAAAGGTTTATCATCACCATCATCATCCTGTTGTGCTATTTTGACACCATACAGGGCTCATAGTTAATTCCTCCTTTAGATTTTATCCTGTGCAATCCTTTCAATATCATTAGTGGAATCCATTCTGGCACTGCTTGTATTTATACTCCTACAAAAATTAACACTTAAACTAGCCAATGGTATTATTAATCTTGACCTGGTACCTATTTCGGAGTCAAGGCTATGAAAACAAAAATTATGATATGTCAGGACCTGGACACATGATCTTCAGTTCCACAGGCGAGAATCTAGCCACTACCCTGTGGTGGCTCTTAAGGATGTTAATTTTTGCCCACGACAGAAAAAATATCCATCAGTTTATTGGGAGTTAAACTGCTGTCTCTTGTATGCATGCTCGACATTGTATAAATAAACAGAGGGGGAACCTTTGAGGCAGTTAAATATTAAGAATTAATCAAGTAACAGAAAGTGTATTGATCGGCACTCGTAGAAAGAAGTAGATAGATAGAAGAACATTGCAACTGCCTGGTTATGTTATTGGCAAGCAAATAGTAGTTTACAAAAGTGAAAAGTTGAGATCTTAGACACTCGATGGTAATGGCAGCCTGAAAAACAAGAGCAAGCCAGAAGATTTTCAACTGTCAAGGGATCTTTAAACTTGTACAGGTTCTCAGTTATGTGTGTGTGTCTGCATACAAAAAGGTTTGATTGCCAATTAAGTGTCTTGCCTTTTTTTTTTCTGATGTAATAAAAATCCAAACAATCAACACTGTGAGATGAGTCAGATCTGCTAAAACAAGAGTTAAACATATAGCCTATGATCATCTACTGACTGATTCTCAAGCAAGCAGTTAGTGTCGTATAACAGCATCAAATTCCCTACCACAATGGACCTATCCACAGTCTGGACACCCCAATGCTAATTTATTTATTTATATCTCAGATGGTCAGTCCGTAGATATATAGTTCTTTCGTTATTGGCGAGTCCAGATGTGAGAAATGTAGCCAGATTGCTCCTAATTCAGTCCTTCTTAACGAATAGTGTCAGTATGTATAACATGACACGTTTTCTGTGCCTGTTTAAATTTATTAGTTTGACTGCTTCACTACAAGCTTAAGCCAAATTATTGCCCAACGGCGGTAGTTAGGGTCTAGTATTCTCTACGTCACTACTACTCAATAGGTCCAAGTGAGCAGAAGCTTTTTGTCGCGGTGGCCAATTGACCGCTATTAACGAAAATCTGTTTTGTCAGATAATTGTCATCGGCATGGGATGTCTAAAGATCCATTGAATGTCAGAGCAGTAGTCCGGTTCCGGCCAACCATAAACTTGGGAATCCAGACAGTATCGACATGCCACCGTCTCGTAGTGCATGCCATTTTTGAAGTCGATGGCAGTGAGTCTCTGGAAGGACTCGCTAGCCTTTCCACTAGCCAGTGGAAAAATTTCTTATTTGACTGAGTTATTCGAGGAATCGGGAAGCTGTTGCGATCTACACTTCTGTGCACAGAGGAATTTGTGGATTCTATGCAGTCTGTAGTCATGAGGAATATCGGGGCAGCCAGAACCAGAATGCACCCAGTAATCTCTCTCCGCCCTCCGTGCTATGATGAATTTGGAAATGGGTGCGCCACTCAAAGGAGACCCGTCCTCTAATTCTAACTCTTCGAGAACAGTTTGAACTTTCATTCTGTTCCCTTGTATTCTACCTTTTATCTTATCTTGTGGTGGTGTATTTATTACATTATATTCTTCGTTCACAAGATTTCTTGTTCTTAGAAGAAAGTTGTCTTAACTGAATCTCTCATCGTTGTCAGAACTGTAACTATGTATAGTCAGATCCACTGTTGTATATTTGTTCGACTGTGTTAACGTTGTTTTCCAGTCTGGGGGCAAACAAAGTAATATGGAAGTCAGGCCGAGTTGTACCAAGGATTAGTATTAATTCTGTGGAGTCAGAACTCGAGTCGCCTCATACCTGAGATAGGCTGAATGTATGTTTGAACCGACGACTTAGCTTCTAGACAAACGAGAGCCAACATTCAGAACACCCCTGTCTCAGAGTACCTGAGGATTTTAGGAAAATAATCCTGAAGTAAAGGTACGTAACAAAACTGCCATACCACAGTTATACATGCAATATATCAACTGAGCATACCTCCACACAGCTCTCTTTGAAAATAACCACATGACTGATCATCGCATTCACAGTATGGTCCACTGTATCCCTCGGCACAATGACACAGACCACAGACACACTGACCATTGCCATTACACGGTTGTGTTGAGTTTTCTCCAGGTCTGTACAAAAGAGATTGTTATCAGGTTACTGCTGTTGTGAAGTGGAGTAGAGTTCCATGTAACAGCTAAAAAAAAATTAAAAGTCAGTAACCTATTTCCATACCTCAAGCCATTATGCTGGCTTGAGAATCAGCTGTACACACATGTTGTATTTGTAACTGACTCACAGATCATGCTGAGAAAGGTGCAGACAGCCATGCTCTGTGCAGAGTGGCAAGCATAGCTTTAGAGGTTTCGGGTAGTTAGTGTCCTATGGATTTTTCTCCAGGTTATGCCGGTGTGTTGGGAAATGAGCATCAGACAGATAGGCTGGCTGGTTCTGCACCACTTGGTGGGGAATTAATTTATGATGAGCTGGATGTTGTGAGGGCCCTGTGGGAGCGAGTGAAGAGTGCGGTCACAAACAGATCATTACAGTCTGAGGAAAACGGCGTTGCAAGGAGTCACCAAGGGATCTGGCCAACACTCAAGGAAATGATGAAACGGATAAACATCAGTTACTGGAACTCTTCCCTTGCTGCTGAAGATGGGGACAGAGTACTTATGGGAGTGTCCCCTGGAATGTGATTTTGATTCTTAATTCAACATTAAACATGCCTCAAAGCCTACTGGACATATGGTGCTGGCTGTAAATTTATATTAGTTGTGTTAGCTGAGGTTCCAGCATTCAAATGTTCAACACTGATGGCTTTTTTCTTCGTGTTTGTTTTCCACCGCCTTACCCCCATTTTCAGGAATTTAAAAATAAAAAAAAACATCCACTAATATAAGTTGAGTTGGGTTGAGTCAAGAATTGACGTCACAGCACTCGCGGCATTCCTATGCATGCTCCGTCCTCTTCTTCAGCAGCCAGCGCAGAGTCCTAGTACTGATGGTAATATAATATATTATATAACTAATATAAAACCTTGAAAAAAAATAATCTTCATGTACTCTGAAGGCAAAGGATGGAAGTGGCTGCACAATCATTGCTAGCAAGCTTTTATGTAAAGATCATTGTAATAAACTGACTGCATCCCTTGCAAGCATTTGAACATGCCTTGGATGTGTATTATATCAAGTTATAGGATATATGTGTAAAAGACACACACCCCTCCCAGCACCATACAGGCAGGCACACATGCAGGCATATTTACACATAGGCACGCACGTGTGCATGTACGCACACATGCGCAGAAACGTATTAAAAAAAAATATTGACTAATTTATCATTTAAAACTCTTTCATGCTTATTATATACTGCATCTAACAACACAACTCCAGACCTAAGGCGACTTACTTGGTTGCATGCTTACTTAAAAACATAACAAACTACAATTACCCAAGACAACTTGAGTCTGATGTATTCATATTCATGGAGTCACATTCACAAGTATGTCCAAAACGACCAGGCAGACATTCACAAAGTCCACACTTGAGTGTTCCATTCCCTGCACTGCATAGCTCACTCTCTAGCTCCTTTATTGAAAGCAGTGTGACAATTACTCTATTGTATTATTAATATCCTTCTGACATTTAGTGATGTTACATGTGAAGTAAAGTGTATGTAATATTTCTCTCAACTCTGAAGCAGTGTTCTTCAACCCATGGGCCGTGGCCCATAAAAGTCCAGGTAGGCAGCCGCCAATTTCTGCCTAATTATATAATGGGGTTGTGTAGGTATTTTCCCCCCAGAGATTGCAGTTTGTTGGATTAACACCTCAAAGATGAGCATCAAACGGGTACAAGTGATATTCAACATAACAAGTCAGCACCTAAAGATGATAGCTGAAAACTTGTCCACACCTGGTAATTTTTCTTTTTTTTAGTAAACATACTGCCTCCACAACTTCTTATCTCAAATTTCGGTATCACCAACTTCTCTTTTCCCCCATATGATGTTGTCTGGGGCTGTAGTGATCAGGCTCCTCTTCTTGAAGTATTTACAATATTCTGTCTATTTCTCTAATATTGCCGTTTTCTCATTAACTCTTTGAGTCCCAAGGAATGCATGATACGTTCATACGTTACTGCCTAGAAGCCCAATGAACGCATAATGTGCCGTTTTACGTCTCTCTTGACTACCCCTTGGGCCTGTGATGCTAAACCCTCTGGGACTCAAAGAGTTAAGAACTTAGCATCTGCAAAATTATGATAGGATCTGGCACAGTAAATACTGACTGACTGACCGAGATGAGATATTTTTGCCAACACAACTTTAAGTATTTCATTGTCAACAGACTCCAGTACCTCTCCCAGAGTGATCTTGGGAAAAGTAAAATGTACGACAGTAATGCAGACAATTGCGTTGAGGTATCAGTATTTTATGGTAGTGGTGTACTTTAGGAGTTTATCGTTTCCAGCTGTATCTTCTTCTTTGTAAACGTTCATATGTCGACCTAACTACATCTAAAGAAAGCAGCAGTCAGTTTGCTTCAATTATTGGGCATATAAAGAGAACGGTAGATAACAGAGAGTCAAAAACTGCTTAAAGAGGAGTGCTGACTGGGAATAGACTGTGAGGCAGGCCAAGGAGACAATGGAAATATGTAGGCAAAGCTACAAGCACTTGGGATTACCAAATAGAAAGAGAAGGCCTGTCACAGAGATGAATGGAGGCGGGTGATAGCTAAGGCAATCAGCCTCAAGGACTTAGAAAACAGAAGAATAAAAACAGATCAGTAAATTTCTGTTTGTTGACATTTTCATAGTGTTTGCTCTCAGAATATGCAGGTGTAGGCTAGCATACTTTTCTCTGTTAGGCATATGTTGGATTCTCTTGCAAAATGTTTTAGCCATTATTTTACCAACTCCACTCATCAGTATTTTTGAGCTTTAGTTTGAGTTATCAGTTATGATTTGGGTTATTTTCACAGCACTCAGGACAAGCCCATAGGTGTTTAGATTCCCTCTTCAACATATACATCAGCATCCTGGCTGTGCCGATCTTTATTACCAATTCCTGCACTCTTAGCAAAGATTTGGAAGTGTTGCTCTTAAAATCCTCTGAATGACCTACCTCTCTAATAGCGTTAACAATGTTGACATGATCGATGGGCTGGCTCTCTGTAACTAAGGCAGAGCCAGCAAATCTGTCAGCTCTTTCATTGCCAACAACACCCGCATGCCCTGGTACAAAGATGAAGGTTACTCCACGCACAGTAGAGTTCTGCAATCCACTGTCTGCGTACAAAACCTGCCTTGACCCGCCGAATGATCTTTAGTTTATTAAACAAGTGATAATTCAACCTTATACGTCAGTTTAACATGTGAACTATAACACAAATTAAAACACCTACAATTAATAAAAAAAGATAAATGAAACTTATTTAATTTGAAAAACAAAAATATTTCAGTGTACCCATTTAGTTTCATCAGTTCTGCAAGAACATTCACACAGGGTGTTCACATGTAGCACCAGCTGATCATTTTTCTTGGAACTTGGATAAATAACAACTTTCTTCATAGGTTCTCCTGGACCAGTCAGGCACTCTGATACTCTTACATCTACTTCAAATGTTATCTGAAATGAACCCAGAAAAAAAGTGTTCATTCTTGTACCTGTTGTCCTATTGATTCAAATATAAAATATTCAACAATGATAACTATTTTCTTCTTTGAGACCAGAACTTAAACAAGCAGGTAAAGATTTTTGTCCATGCCTATGGTGCATTGGGCATATGATGCTAGATTTATTATAAAGACAAACTGGCACTTGGTGGATGATGCGGTCAACTTCTGACTAACTGCCCGTACTTACAATGTCATCAGCTTGTAGCTATTTAGTGTTTGTTATATTGTGTAGTTATTTTAGACTGGGTTGATGTGGGAGCCAAAGTCAATTTTGAAAAAAGTCAGACTCAATATGGATTCAAACTCAAGACCTTTCAGCTGGCAGAAGTTTTCCTAGCCACTATTCTACCAGGATTCCTGAACAACAACAACAAAAAAGTCTTTGTCTTGTCATCTGTTGGAGTCGATACATTACTCATCTTGACTAACATGTTTTTTTTCCATATTCTTCTGAGCTTTTGAACCAGCTGTATGTTTTCTGATCCGTTTGTATGATTCACAGTGGACAAAATTGACTGTGTGTAACATATGACATTTGTTTCCTGATTTCCAAATATAAATATTAAAGAGGTATTCTAAATTTACAGAGAGAAATGTTTGAAACAAACTACTTACAGGAATATCAACCAATCCAAGTCTGTTTAAACTTTTGCATTTGTTTGTTCCAGTTCTAAGAAAACAATTTTGTTAATCATATTGTTTTTAAAGTAATTATTTTTAATAATTTGAGTTAATAATAATAATCTATGATGACATGAAAGGTCTGGCCAGTTCGGTGAGCAATGTTTTAGCACATACATGTGTTGTTTCAGTTAAATTTCTATTAACATTGACAGACTTATCAGCATTAAAAAAAACAAAAATCTCACTCATACTTCCTGTCCTATAAAACAACATAAATACAAATGGTTTAAATGAATACCCACCCATACTGTTTCAACTATCAACCATACTGAGTGTGAAGTAACATAAAAAAACAAAAACAGAAACTGATAGGCTAGCTTTGGAAGTCCCAATTAGAGACATTGCTAATTAGTGTTTGTAATATATTTACATAAAAAAACACACACAAAAAACAGAACAAACTATCTATCATCAAAGTAGTTTGGCATAGGTTAAGGTGGGCAATGTAACTTCTATGCTATTATGTCCGTGGTGTTTATATAAACCCAATCGGTGTATCATAGCATTCCATTTCTTCCTTTTCACACCGCAGTATATCTTTCAACTTTTTTATTGTGTGTGTGCTGATGCGTGAACACACATGCATGATTATTACTATTTGATAATGAAGACACAAAGAGTTTCAGACAGGGGAGATAAACTAAGGATCACATCTTTAACATACAAAATAAATTTTGAAAAATATAAAGCATACAATAAATATCTCGATGCTTGTTTTGTTGATTATAGCAAGACCTTTGTGTCCAGGATCAGAAATTGTAAAGTTTCATGAGAGGTATAAGACTGTAAGCATATTTGGTACATTTGATTGAAAGTTTATATCATGAACTAGCACTCAGTAGCTGGAGAAATATCAAATTGGTTAAGGATGCAGAAAGAAATAAGGCATTGCTGCATTCTCTCACCGTAACTATTCAATATACATGCAGAAAGCATAATCTGAAATATCAAAAATGACCAGACTTGTGACATTTATGATTAGCTCATATCTGGTGGCAATCCTACTCTGGAACTTTCATATGTAGATAATACAGCCATTCTTTCAAAGAGTGTAAAGAAATAGAACATTTAATCATAACTGTTCAACAAACAGTGAGAATCAAAAACTGTTTCTGAAGTTAAAGAAAACACAATATATAATGCCCAAAATAATAATAAATGAGGAAGAAATTGAAAATATAATAAACTTTGAATATTTAGGCTTCATAATTAACAGCAATAGTCTGCCCAACACAAAACAAAAGGAGAATGGCCGTAGCAATGCAAAAGAATAAACAACATTAAAAGTCTTTAGTAAGCCCCAGCAAGGAAATTAAAGTCACAATTTTGACAGCAAAATACCAATGTGAGTCGTTAACTATCTTGCAGCCATTAAGGAAATAAGGGTTTTTGAACTTGAATGGTATAGAAAGATGTTCCAAATGCCATGAGCCAGAAGAAAAGAAATACTGACATCCTAAAAGATTTAAACATCAAGGAGGATTGGCTAATTAATAGCAATTGTCTCTGGAACTGAAATATTTTGGCCATATCAAATGCCACGCTGGCCTAGAAAGAATAATAGCAGAAGGCATGTTACCAGAAAAGAGGGGCAGGGGTCGACCAGCATAAAGATGGGCACATGATATAAATGACACCTTGGCTAGGATGGTGCATGAGGTGGGAGAGCTGGTTAATGACCCAGTTTTCTTCAGACAGGCTATGATGAGAGCGACATTCTGCAAAAGGATCTGCTACATGATGATGATGATGAATGAAGACACTGTAGATCAACATCAACTGAACACAATACACAAACTTACTCCTGACAATGTTCACTTGTGGTTGTTATCTGTAAATCAATACCTGCAATTGTTGTGTAATCTAGTTCCACTTCAGAAAAAATTTCCTGAAAAGAAAGTATAATTTAAAGGATATTTACTTTAACTTCATTCTCCTACATAGTTTTGTGTGTGTGTTGAATAAAGGCATTACAAATACAGATGTCGAAAATAAAATTATCAGATACAGCCAACTCCATATCTACAAACGGATCTTGTCATTATTAAAGGTTGTCTTTATTCACTTCATATTATATGTGTATAAATATGTATATATACATATATATATATATATATATTTACACACGGGAGTCACTGTGGCGGAGTGGCTAGATGCTCACCGTGGATCGGAAGGTCATTGGTTCGCTCCCTGGTGGAGCCTGATTTTTTTCAAAAACGACTTTGGCTCCCAGGTCGACCCAGCCTTGAGTGGGTACTGGGTGCAGACTCGGGTGGTAGAGGTGGCCACCGTGATGCTGACCACATCACCCATCTTGTGCCGATTGGTCTATAAAATATAGGTCTAGCCCTACATGCCCTATACGCCTAAAGGCGTGAGAAAGGGTCCCTTACATCACTTGACTTTATTATATATATATATATACACACACACATACATACATATATGCAGCTCTGTAGCGTATTGGTTAGTGATTGATTTTAACAATTTCGTGATCCTTTGGTACTAGGGTTTGTATTTTGTAGAGGATAGTTTATCGTACTTGTGGTTTTTAGGGTGATAGTATGAGGGTCACACCATGGAAGATATTGCAGCCTCACTATAAAAATTTCAAGAAAACAGCACTGTAGGCAACCTTCACAGTACAGTACATAACTTGTTTGCTATTTTCTTAAACTACATATGATGATCATAGATAGGAAATGAAGGAATATGCAGCAATAAGGATAGTGATAAATGAGACTGCATAACCAAACATAACTGGCAGACAAATATACACCATTGAAATGGAAAAAATACTCTATATATCCCAGTTATAACCCGGATGGGTTGAACAAGGTTTTGTTGTTTAAATGACTACTACATATGCCTACAGCAGTAATGCTCCCCTAAAAAGATACTAAATATAATCAATAAGCTACATTCTCCTGGCAAAGAATGTAGGGAGTGATGTAATGGGAGAGCAGCTGAGCTGAGTTAAGCTAATAACAGATATCAATACATTTGAGACATTCCCATAAGCGCTCAATCCTCATCTTCAGCAGCCAGCCATGCTGACAATACCAGTAGCAGTTTGTTTATATGTCGATCCTGTCTTTCTTCTGCGTGTAGAGTATCATCCGGATCACCTGGTCACTCTCTGCTGCTTCATTCTCTTCACACAATAATGATCTGTATGTACTTCCACAGTGTTCACTTGCTTCCATAGGACCTTGATCCCCCCAGTGTTGCAACATCAACCATTCTGCCAACATTTTCATATCCCAACACACCTGTATGGGAAGAATGATCCAAAGTATGCTAAATACCATCGACCTGTGAAGCAATGCTTGTCCCTCTGCATGGAGCGTGCATTTCTTCCACCTATCCCAGCATGCTTGGTGAGTCTGTTACAATCACAACATGTGTGTGCAGTTGGTTGAAATAAGAAATTAGAAATTGAAGTGATAACTGTACATTTTAAATTTATGAATGGCAATTTCCATGTAACATGGAAGACCTACCATGTATTTCTTCTCCACCATCTCTTTAATATTTATATGACCAGAGCTGTTTTGGCTGGTCAATGCTCCCACTATTGAATTAGGAATTCTGTTTGACAGTTCTTTGAACAAAGCAATCTGATCCTCTGTTACAGCAAATATAATATGGATGTCACTCATGGCAACAATATGTGCCAGCTGGCCAGCTGAAGGATAATCCTGAAAGAAAATCAGAAGTCCATATAAAAATTGTAAAGTTTGCACGATTTTTGCAAGATGTCAGAAAGTTTGCACAATTTTTGCAAGATGTCAGAAAGTTTGCACAATTTTTGCAAGATGTCAGAAAGTTTGCACAATTTTTGCAAGATGTCAGAAAGTTTAAAAAAAAAAAATAAAACAAAGACAAATAAAATACTCCACAGAGGTGGTAACATTTTGTCCATGCTTCTTTGTATACCTGACTTCTCTATCTAGGTCAGTTTTCTTTAGTCTTGTTACACCCTGGGACTGGCAAACAAAAAGGAGGTGAAGAGGGATAGATTTGCGGACCACCTGATAGGTAGGTAGGTAGTTGTACCCCACAATGACATCACACAAGCGATAAACACCCGGTGACACAAAGTGCCACCATGCGGATGAGGATCACCCTGTAATGTGAAAAACAGTACCCAAAAATGAGACACACTATAGCAGTAAATGTTGCACTAACTCCAAAAACAGTGATTACAAAAATAGGAAGAGCAATATTTTCAAATAATCCTGCATTAGGTATATATTTTTTGGCAGCCCACGCAGTGTTTTCATGGACAACCAGCTGATGAACACTGTCACTGCCCATCCTCAGCAACTTTCAAAGTAGAGTTTTTATCTAATTCTATTTCATCTGGTGTCAACAAGACAATAGAAATTATTAACTCATTTGGTACCAAACAATTCATTATGGCTGATTTAAACTGACATCCCATCTTTTTCTGAACTCCTTGTGATCCAGCCAGCTGTTGATTATACCAGCTTACTCCTATAGCTACTTTAACCCTTTCTGACCAATAGCGTTATTGATTTAAACCTCTCAGACACAAACTGTCTTTACTGCCTGCATGTACCTAGGGCTTTTTTCTGGCAGTAAGCAATGGTTCACAGTATATGTACATTTTCTAAAGCTTTTTTCTTTCAGTGTTACTGTAATAGAACTTTATGATGCATACCACCATCTTTTATTAGACACTTTATGGTGCATACCACCATCCTTTATTAGACACTTTATGGTACATATCACCATCCTTTATTAGACACTTTATGGTACATACCACCATATTTTATTACACACTTTATGGTACATACTATCATTTTTTATTACACTTTATGGTGCATACCACTATCTTTTATTACACACTTTATGGTACATACTATCATTTTTTATTACACTTTATGGTGCATACCACCATATTTTATTACACACTTTATGGTACATACTATCATTTTTTAATTACACTTTATGGTGCATACCACCATCCTTTATTAGACACTTTATGATGCATACCACCATCTTTTATTAGACACTTTATGATGCATACCACCATCCTTTATTAGACACTTTATGATGCATACCACCATCTTTTATTAGACACTTTATGATGCATACCACCATCTTTTATTAGACACTTTATGGTACATACCAACATCTTTTATTAGACACTTTATGATGCATACCACCATCTTTTATTAGACACTTTATGATGCATACCACCATCTTTTATTAGACACTTTATGGTGCATACCACCATCTTTTATTAGACACTTTATGTTGCATACCACCATCCTTTATTAGACACTTTATGGTACATACCACCATCCTTTATTAGACACTTTATGGTACATATCACCATCCTTTATTAGACACTTTATGGTACATACCACCATCCTTTATTAGACACTTTATGGTGCATACCACCATCCTTTATTAGACACTTTATGATGCATACCACCATCTTTTATTAGACACTTTATGGTGCATACCACTATCCTTTATTAGACACTTTATGGTACATACCACCATCCTTTATTAGACACTTTATGGTACATACCACCATCCTTTATTAGACACTTTATGATGCATACCACCATCCTTTATTAGACACTTTATGGTGCATACCACCATCCTTTATTAGACACTTTATGATGCATACCACCATCCTTTATTAAACACTTTATGATGCATACCACCATCTTTTATTAGACACTTTATGGTGCATACCACCATCCTTTATTAGACACTTTATGATGCATACCACCATCTTTTATTAGACACTTTATGGTGCATACCACCATCCTTTATTAGACACTTTATGATGCATACCACCATCCTTTATTAGACACTTTATGATGCATACCACCATCCTTTGTTAGACACTTTATGGTGCATACCACCATCTTTTATTAGACACTTTATGGTGCATACCACCATCTTTTATTAGACACTTTATGGTGCATACCACCATCTTTTATTAGACACTTTATGGTGCATACCACCATCCTTTATTAGACACTTTATGGTGCATACCACCATCCTTTATTAGACACTTTATGGTGCATACCACCATATTTTATTACACACTTTATGGTACATACTATCATTTTTTATTACACTTTATGGTGCATACCACTATCTTTTTTAAGACACTCTATGGTGCATAGCATCACATTTTATTAGACACTTTATGGTGCATCTACCATCTTTTATTAGACACATTATGGTGCATACCACCAACTGTTATTGGACACTTTTGGTGAGTACAGAGATCTTTTTTTCCAGAAAAAAAAATTAAACGCCCTGGATGCATTACTTTTTAAAGTGCTGCAGAACAATGCAGTCTTGATCCCTTCACTTTCTCTTTTTTTTTTTTCTTCTTTTTCTCCTTTTTTCTTCTAAGAACACACTGAGATAGGAATCTAAATTAAAATATATTCAGCAGTCATTATAAGATTGATGACATCTGCATTGAGTTTTACAGCACTGAATATATTTATAATTAACCAAATTATATAACTGTCAATGTCTGTGGCTTAAGCATTGCAAACTTGGTTTGTAATTCTGAGTTACTGGGTTTGATGCCAGCTGTGGGTGATTTGGCTTCAGATCACCTTGCATCGATTTTTATAGTGGTATCAAGAGCTGAATGTTCAGAAATGATAGCAAACTACTGAACATAAAATTGCCTAGTAAAAATCATGAACAGCCTAAAAAAAATATTCTGGGATTGGTTCTGCAAAGTCATGTAAAGGCTAAGCAACTAACTTTTTAGTAAAAAAAAAATATAATGATAATAATCAATCTGTACTTGAGATGTTTACAAGGAGACTCAGGCTCATGACCCCCTGTCTATGCTACTCTAGAAAGTGGTAAAAAGAGACAGTAGTGACAGTTGCTATGCTACCTGTCCAAGTTCCTGTGTGTACTTGCCTTCTCTGTCTAAGTGACACAGGCCATCATTTGGGGTGACTATTCCAGCCAGCTATGGAATAGAGAAACAAGATAGAAATACAGACAAACATATTATACTGTGCCAACTCACTAGATAAACAAGGATTAAAAAAATGAAAATAACAGTATTAATAAACTGCCATCTTCAAAGGTTTTGTTAACATCTATTTTAACATGTAGGTCCTGGCCCACTCTTGGAAAAAAGGAATAGACCCACTGCCTCCTAATAAGCATGTTGTAAGAGTCGACTTATTAGGGGTTTCTTTTAAAGTCGGAGTGCATCTGCCTGAGAGGAAAGGAACTCACAGATTTGATTTGATTTGATTCAAGAACCGACATCACAGCACTTGAGGCATTCACATAACCCCTCCGTCCCCATCTTCAGCAGCCAGTGAAAAGTTCCAATACTAATGGTACCAGTAGCATTCTGATTAAACGTCCGTCTTGCCTTTCCTCTGAGCCTCAAGCATCTGCCAGAACCTCTCGTCACTCCCCCCTGCATCAATCTCACCAGACTGTGGTGATCCATCTGCTCCTCCGAACTGTACACGCTCTCCCACAAGGCACTAACCATGTCTGCCTTATCATGCATCAGTATTCCATCAAGCTGTGCAGAGCCAGCCAGTCTGTCCACCTGTTTATTTCTCAACACACCGGCGTTCCCTGGTGAAAAAAATCCAGACAATACTCCTCACCAGTGTTGTCCGCAGCGAGGCATGCCAGTCTGCACGAAGCATGCCTGTCCTGATCTTCCTCAGCATACTTTCTGAGTTAGTTACAATCTGTATGTGTGTGTGTGTGTCGTGTTCTCTAGCCAGCGGAAAGCTGCAGTTACCGCCTCCACCTCCATTCTTGAGCTAGTTGTTGTGGTATCATATGCTAGGCTCTCATGCACCAAAAATCTATCATTAACTTTTGCTAAGAAACCCCAAGCACTTATTTTGCCTCTTGACACTTAACTGTCTGTGTAAATGATCAAAACTTCTGAGCAAGCATTATCTTGAATTAACTGCTGAATATTCCCCTCTGTGGCACCTGCTAACCAGTCTCTGCATTCCCGGCTAAGTGTGATTATGACCCTACACAAGTTTGGCTGTTCAGGTGGCACTTTGACCCACTCCTTTCCTCGCCTAATGTTCTCAAGGTTGCAAACCTGTCTGATTGTGTCTTCTGTCTGAGCTATCCATAACTTCCCTCTTATCAGCCGCTGACCCTTAACTGCACCCAGAGCTTTGTGCAAAGAGTGGTCTGTGTCTGCAGCTACCCTGAGATATGACTTCGCCTGCAGTACCTTGTGCCTAGCTGCAACAGTCGGCAAACCAAGGAACTGACAGTCTACAGACAAACAAGCCGAACCTGTAAAAGAGATGTGCGAGCAACTCTCAAGTTCTTGAATAAGACTAAAGTCTGGAAGTGGACTAACAAGCAAAACTTTCTGCTATTTACATTCAGTGAATGCAAAGAAGAAGGAGAAGATATGAGACAAGTTCTCAGCAAAGTGCATAAGCTTTGTAGCACTGGCAAGGATTCAGGTATCATTATAAAATACACAATTTACAAATTAAACAAATAACACCGCAGCTATCACAGTGTAGGTTATGTTATCTCAAATGACATCACCGAACAATAGTCATTTCCATACATCCTTAGTCCTCAGATGCAACAGCCACACCAAAGTAACTGCTGATTGTTCCCAAGAGAAGTTGGTTATGATGTCTCAGATCTGGCTGACATGCAACACTCAAGGGAAATGCGAGCAGATGTATAATCAGACAGTTACGGGTACCAACGGAATTAGAACTCTTCGTTTGCTGCTGAAGATGGGATGGAGCACTTATGGGAATGTCTCAAGTGCTATGATGTTGATTCTTAATTCAACATTCATGACCTCAAAAAATGGCACAGTTGTGCTTCACCAGTTTTATTCCCAGGTCTTACAACTGTGTTAGCGTCAGAGATTCATCATAATCCTCCAGCATAGTCTGCAGAGTGTTGATGATATAACCTCCGTCCATGCTTCTTCCTGTATGCATTAGTACATTACTTGATAATTGGTTAGCTTGTTCGTTACCTTTTACTCAGGCATGCCCCAATGTGTAGATCCAGATTATGAAGGTTAAGTGTGTCTTCCAAATGATTTCTACCCATTTAAGATGGAGGCTGCCTGATATGATTTTCTGAAGCAGGTTTATGAGGTCTTATATGACCACTGTATGTGTGACTCCTTACTATGTTGCCCATGTGAGTGCTCTAAAACCAACTGTTTTGATGAAGCTGCCTGGTAAACACCTCCCTAGTCCCCCCCCCCCTCCCCCAAAAGAAATCTTTTGTGCTGTGATGCCCATGCTATCCTTGACCGGCATTTCATGGACCTATTTGTGTATTGCAACTACTTTCATCTCAAATGTTCTCATACACAGAAAAAAGCCTTCTGTCCAATAATGATAAGATTTCATTCGAAACGACAATTAGGATTAGAGAAAAATGTTTTATTTGTATAATTAAAACTGCAAGAAATACTGCTTTAAATGTGATACTTATTCATAAATTGTTCATATTTTAAACCAGTAAAATAATTCTCTAAGGAGCAAACATGGTGTAGTGGCTAGAAACTCGCACTGGACCCAAAGGTTGTAAGTTCAAATCCACATTCAGCCAGATAAAAAAAAAAAATTACCTGGCTCCCACATCAACCCATCCTAAAATGGGACTAGGTACATTGTGGGAAGTAAAAGCAGCTCCTGATGCTGACTGCATCACCCACTATGTGCCGATTGGTCTATAAAATATAGGTATAGCCTTGTATGCCTAAAGACGTGGCAAATGGTCGTGTACTGTACTTTAACATATAATTCTTTCACTAAATTTTCTAAGAATACTTTAAGTCAAACTTTTGTTTCTGTTATTTTTTAACCTAATTCTGTCTAAAGCAAGTGATCATTTTCAATACTAACACCAGAGTTTTCACACATGAAGCAAATAGAAGGGCTCGTTCCAGAGATTTCTTCTGCCCTGACACTTTAGAGGCATGTAGAGAAAAGATGAAACAGAAGTAAACGTTTTCACATAATTCAAACTGTATGTAAACATACACGTCCATCCCCAGCCAGGTGAAATCCATCATTGCTTGAAAAGATCAACAATTTGTGGCTGTAATCTCTCCAACCTATTTCAGACTGAGAAAGTAAGCAAACATGATAAACTGTTCATTAGTATGCCTTAAAAACACATTCTGAAACAAAGTGGATGAAGAATCACACACAAAAAATGTATTAACATAATAAACACATATAGTGAGCACACGTAAGATGTTGATGAGTGGTGCAAGACTAGATATGCACTAGATTATGCAAGGACATATAAAGAAATGAATGAATGAATTACAAATTGACATCACTGCACACGAGACATTCCCACACATGCTCCTACTCTTTCCTCAGTATCCAACAAAGTGTCGACATCTGTTAAGATGCAGTAGCAACCTCTGAGAATATCTTTCTAACCCTCAGCTCACCCCCCAGTGGAGTAAGTCTTTAAATGTATGGATTCTTTGTATTTTTTACTGCACTATCTGTTTGATCCCAGGGAGCCTCACTGCATCTGCTTTATCATAAAGTAGCTGAATACCCAGAGAAACAGCAGCAGCCAAACTATCAGCCTGCTCATTACTTCACGCACCCAAAGAAAATCCATGATATGCTTCTCATCTAAGTCTTATGTAATACAAGCCACTCTACGAGTATGATGCCAGTTTCAATTTTCAGAAGCATGCTCTGTGAGTCTGTTACAATTACAGCATGTCAAGGTGTGCTGCTTTCAAGCCATCTGAAAGCTGCCATGACTGTCTCCCTTCCATTCTCATATTTGATGTTGTGACGTTGTACTCGTGACTGTTTTTTTTTTTGGGGGGGGAGGGGGGGGGGGGGAGAACTATAAGGGAAATAATGAATAGTAACAGTACAACATATGATACATGAAAAGAAAAAAAAAAGACACACACGGAGGGGTGGCTAACATTTTCTGGTTGCAACATTCTCTGGAAAATAGCTGTAAAATCAAACCAGTTATGAAAATTGTCTACAATTGGTTTTACATAAGTTGACATAAGACATACCTACATCAGAATGAGACAATCTATTTTCTTTGGTAATGTCATAAGAAGGAGAAAACTGGAGTACATCGTGATGGTGATAAAGCTAGAGGGTGACCAAAAAAGAAAAATCTGGGCAGTTCAACATAATGCCATAGACGATCACCTGTGTCTGAAATGATTGAAAACACAAGCGACAGAAGATTGTGGACAGACAGGACTAGCAAAACCAAACTGCATGGACTATAAGAAGATGTTATCTGATGATATATGCTTCAATCAGAAATAAGAAGCAGAAGAAAAATGTCACCAAATATTTACTGTATTTATGGAAACAACAGAAATTGAATATGGGTTTTCACCAAAGCATGCTTTCTTAGCTTTATGAACAGATAAATAATGCAGTGAATGCCATTTCTTCTTCTACCCTTTATTCCCCAACTGCAGCCAAACATGCCATCTTGTTGTTCTCCCTTTTGGTATTGTGTGCAGCTCATCTCAGGTTCTGCCATCCTTTTCACTTCTCTTGAATTTTTTTGAAGTTCTGGGGTTCAAATCCGCATAGGGGTGGATTTGTTCAAAACTGACCATGACTCCTACCTAGGTCAACCCAGCCTAAAATGGGTATCCTCTTGGGAAGTAAAGATGGCCATCATAATTTTGACTATATCATCCATTGACAGCTTATTGATCTATACAAATCTAGGTCTAGCACTATATGACAGATTCAGCAAGGGTGTAAAAGGGTTGCATACTTACTTTACTTTATTTCTCTGTGCGTTTTTAACCCACCTGTATTCCCTTACCTCTGTGGGTTCCAATGTAATTACGTTCAAATTATACTATTATACAGTTTTATTAATGTGTGTTCTGGCCAAGGTCAGCCTCACTACATCATCTCTTGATTCACTGAAATTTGCTCACTTCTCTCCCAAATCGCTATATAACTTTTTTATACAGTTCAAACCCTTCTGTTCTGTGAATGCCATTTAGTTCTATGTTAAATACTGTAATTTTTTTTCTTTCAAAATTGCTTTGGTTTAATGAACATGAAAATGTTATAGCTTAAAGAGGGATCAAGTATTTAACTATCTTCAATTTGTTACATGCCAACCTTACTTTGCACATGACAGCTTGAACAATAGCATCCAAAGAACCTTCTGGGTGATCTAGGTTATCAGAAATCATCATCTTAGCAACTCTTTCCTGTAAAAGTTAATATAAATAAACTTCAATATATGAAAAATACATGTTTTGTACTTCAACAGTTCATCTTCATCATCATGATACATTTTCAGTTCTGCAATTGGGCATCATGAGGAGGAACAGTTTGTGGTCAACTGTCTGACTGGCTATTGTCATTCAGTGTCAGTGTAGAAGGTCTTAATGACACTAGCCCATCTTCTTCGTAAGCACCCTTTTGCTTTCACATCAGACCTTTTTAAATGTAATGCCTGTATTTGTCATTGTCGTGGCTGCATTATATGAGATGACCAAACAATTAGATCTTTTGCTTCTCCACAAATTTGGGGCAAGATGTTCTTCCAACAGTCTGTCTGATAGCATAATTTCCCATTCAATCTTAGACAGTTAAGTTAGCAGCTTCAATAGGCATCACATCTTTGGAACATAAACAATATGGACAGTAAAAGAGTTCAAAGCTAAAGTTAACATAATTTTAGTGATTTTAATGCACTTGCACACTGTGTGCACATGCATGTATGTCTCTGTACCTTCCAATATGTGTGTGTATGTGTATATGTACTTATGCATGTATGTCTCTGTACCTTCCAATATGTGTGTGTATGTGTAAATGTACTTATGCATGTATGTCTCTGTACCTTCCAATATGTGTGTGTATGTGTATATGTACTTATGCATGTATGTCTCTGTACCTTCCAATATGTGTGTGTATGTGTAAATGTACTTATGCATGTATGTCTCTGTACCTTCCAATATGTGTGTGTATGTGTAAATGTACTTATGCATGTATGTCTCTGTACCTTCCAATATGTGTGTGTATGTGTATATGTACTTATGCATGTATGTATGTATGATTAATTAGTTAGTTGCATATCCTATACAGGACATTGCAGAACCAGCCCCAGCATTCTTTGGCTGTTGTGGTTTTCCTAGGCAAGTTTACATTAAGTAGTTTTCCATTGCTTACTGGATGGTCAGCTTATGGATACCACTTTCGAAACCAGCGCAAGGCACAAGGCCCGCAGCTGGGATCAAACCCAGCACCCCAGCATTACAAAGCGCGTTCGTAATGCCTAAGCCACAGACGCATTACAGGGACTCACGTAGATATTTTGTCAGTGAGATACAGGAGTTGTAGAAAGGAAAGAGTACACTTTTAAGCTCAAACGATTACTGAGCTATAATGAGGGAATGACAAATGAAGCCCTGAATAAGCTGGAAGTTAAAAGAGTAATATTAACAGTTTAACAAAAGCAAATTTTGGTCACAGGAGAAAAGACATAACTTTGAAGCAATTCATTTTTAAAAACCGGCTTCTGTCTCCATAATTAGGGCTGGCTGCAGTGTACCCACTGCTGTCTTTTGCAAATATTGCATGGTGAAGCCTCAGTCTTTTCCTCTGTGCAAATCCTCCTACCACTGTCCAACAGAGTAGAAAACAACTTCAGAAACATAAACCATCCACTGTGGAATTAGAACACAGGTAAGTCAAGGATTGTTAAAGACATTCATCAATTTCAAACAAAGGCTAGAAGACAAAAAATGCAAGTAGTATAAGCGTCTTTTATGATTTAAAATCTCTTCACTGATGTCACACTGAATCATTTTAATGATATCAAAACCCTTACCATCTGTAAAAAGTGCCCACAATAAAATCTTAAATCATGACAATGTAAATGACTGTCCACTCTAACATCTTAAATGATGTTGTATTCTAACACCTTAAATGATTTTACACTCCAATACCTCAAAAGATTTGACACTCTAAAGTATTTCCTGATTTCTTACTCTGAACGCTGTGGTATTTTTAGTCATGTTGAGCATATGAATAAACTCAAAGGGTTTGACACATTTCACATTTGCAGGAACACACGGATTCTTGATCCTGCAATTAAAAAAAAAAAAATCAGATAAACAGAGCTTACTGCAACATATTTCTTAGTGTGAATACAATCCATTATCATATCTTTATCATACAGAGCTGCTTAGGCATACTTAACTCTTTCAGTTGTTCCATAGATTCTAACCGTTTGGGTGGGTTCCTAGGCCATATTTTATAAAAACAAAAGAATACACCCAATGTCTCCTGAAAGGCATATAAGCACAACGACTAATTGCGAGTTTGCTAAAATCAGAAGTGTTGGGTGTATAGGTGAAAAATATCATAGCCTTGCTAGAGATAGCAAAAAATGGTGAAAATATAGGGTGACTGCAGTCTAGCTGATACAAGGAATTTAAGTGAAATTTAAATTTTGGGGGGGAAGTCAATTTTCACACTGAATGCGCCTGACCCACGTTTTTGTTTGTCACCGTACATGTTTGGTTTAGTTTACTCTCCTCTCCTTATCGTTACCTTTGTGTAGTTCACTTCATGTTTGACAAAGGCTACTGGCTGAAACGTTATCTGTGTTGTTTTGTGACGTTTTCCTGCTTCCCCATTTGGTTAAGCTTTTTAGTCAAATTTCACTGGAATTCCTAGAGTTAGCAATAATGTTTATGCCAACAAAATCCTGTTAAACTCTTCCTGGCTTTAGGAGAGATACATAGGTTGCCCCCCCCTCCCCACCCACCCCCTTTTCAGAAAAAGATTTTTTAGTTTTCTTTTCCCCTTCTTTAGCTTTTGAATTGAAAAGCTACAGAAATATTCTTAGAATATCATGGACCAAGAACAGGAAAAATCTTGAATCCTGCATGATATGATCCTCCAGGCAGGGATACTTTGTTTAGCTGAACTGTGTACTTAATACCAAAAGGCATTAACAAATGTAGTCTTTATAATAAATGTTTAATGATTGAGAAATACAAAAATAACAACACAGTGCAAATATTAATTATATCACTAAAATATAAGCAAATACATTTAAAAAAAAAGTTTACTATATCCTTATTACATGTGAAAAAGGAAATTATCTTTCAATTGAAGATAAGTGTTACTTTACTTTACTTACCTTTCTGGACTAGTATCAGTAAAAGGCAAGATGACTTTGTCTTGAAAAAGGCCAAACCCTATCATATAGTCTCTGGATACATCATTTACAGACTGTGCTGAAATTACAAATCAGAGAAATTATGCTTTTGGTAGGTTCAAGCAAACAGGGCAACACTTTTTAGTATATAAATGTTTAATAATTAACCAGTAGATGTTATTTCTTCAAACACAATATGTATGTTATCACTCCTCATCATCATTAAGTACCTTTTGAGTGGAATGAGTGATCATACTTCTCCACAACCTGCGATCTTCAACAGCATGTATGTTTGTATGCTGACATCCATCCATGCCATGACAACAGGCATCTAGACTACTCGTTTCATATTGTCTTCCTCTGTTCTTTTTCCCGAGATCTTTCTGATGGTCACGGTCAGAAACTGATGACTGGCTCTTTTGGATGTTTGTGATAAGTTGTCTTCGAGCCCTTGTCTTTTTCAAAACAAGGAATTCTGAGAAATCTTCTGTACAACCATACTTCTAGGGTTTCAAAAAACTGTTTTGCTTTTTTAATTTTTATCAGTAATCCAGGATTCACACCCATGTGTTAAAACTGGCTTTATACAGCACTCAACAAATTTTTTTCTAACCTCCAGTGACATGGCTTTATTGATATAATGTTTTGCATTAAAAAAATGCAGTTATAGCCTGTCATATTCTGTTGTTTATTTCTGTAATACATTTTGTGTTGGATGGTGTCCATGTGATTGCTTAACAATTATATTTATTATGATAAACTGTCTTTAGACATATAACATTGTTATTTCAATTATAAATAATAAACAACACATGTTTGAATGACTGGGCTTTCATTCTTGAAGCTGCTGGTCATCTAACATCTTAAATAGACGGTGCCCTTGATGAAGTGAGGTTTATGCAAAGGGATTTCTTGCATCCCAGAATCAATATGCTATTTCTGATGTTGCTTTATTGTAGATATTTTATTCTCCTCTCCATTTCTAGATCCAGAGACTAGAGAGGTGTGCATGAAATCTGCAGAAACATTTCATCTACAGAGAAACATATAAAGTAAGTTATGCAGCATCAGCAAATACATCTGCCTATTCATTTTCCAAGATGCCTTCATGCCCAAGAATATGCAAAACAGACAACTCAACTCAGCTTTTTGCAAATCATTATATATTGATCTATAAAAATAAAGAGAAACTGCACTTTTTGGCAAAACTGAAAACGACGACCCTAGGGGATTAGTAGTACTAGTAGTAGTACATTTTACCCCACCAGGACATCACACAAGCGATAAACACCCGATGACACAAAGTGCCACCATGTGGATGAGGATCACCTGTCGAGAGGTCCCGGAAACCGCGTTCAGCCATTAGACTATATTTATGGCTGGGCTACATTGCAGTCCCTGGTAAGAGCCAGGGTGGGGTTTCAAAATAATGAAAAGTTTGCATCCCACAAGACTGACTGACTGACTTTCTACCCCACCAGGACATCACACAAGTGATAAACACCCGATGACACAAGGTGCCACCATGCGGATGAGGGTCACCGTGGAGAGGTCCCAGAAACCGCGTTCAGACAATTGGCCATATTGATGGCCTGCCTATATTGCGGCCCCTGGCAAATGCCAGAGTGGGGCTTCAAATAACAAAAAATTACGTCCTAATAAGGGTTTGGGGGGAAAACAATATCCTGCAAGGGAATGACTGAATAACATACCCTATTGCAAATTACCAACAGCTTAGGTTAAAGTTAGTGGATTTAATCCATTGTTTGTTCACATAATAATATTATTTAATATTGTTTGAGACTAGGGACAGGGTTTGGGTTAGGGTAAGCTCTAACACTAACTCTAACCCAAACCAAACCCTAACCTGAAGCAAAAATAAATATTAAAGAGCATTATTGTGTGAATGTAAATAAACAAGAGATTGTGTCCCTTATTTGTTTCTGAAAGAAACACACAAGATTCCCGTAAGGTCACCATTTTCAGTTTTGCTAAAATTTTAAAATCAGAAACAGATAAGAAATAAAGTGAAACAGATAAGAAATAATTTCTGGTCACTCAACCCTGTGCAAAAACCAAGTATATGTTAAGTTTTTACCCTTTAACCCAAAAGAATAATATGTGTTATCTGTTTCTTTTTAACTGTACTGTTTTAAAGTAACATTAGTAAAGGTAATAACTAAGTTTGACCCACCAATGTCATCTGCTAGATTGGCAAACTCCTTGAGATAGGATTCCATTGCCATGGAGTTATCAAACAGGAAGTAGATGTCTATGGGAAAGTTACTTGCAGTTTTGAAGGTCAGCACAAATTTGTGGGATTCCCCTTGTCAATGAATAAAAAAAAGGAAAATATCTGGATTAATTTATCATATAACATAAAGCAATAAGGTAGACAGCAAGAGAAAATGTAAATTCAGTTTAAAAGTATCACTACACATGCAATTATTATTTAAAAATAAATTACAAATAGAAACTAACTAGAAACACAGTTGTTAGGTTCTTAAAATAATGTTTTTATTTGGCTGTTTTTTTTTAATTATCTTGCAGAGATTGTGTCTATATAGTAATGAATAGTTATATAAAAAAAAAAAATGAAACACCTGAATATAATGATTGAACTCTTGTTTATCTCAGTTAGAGCAATAATATATATATATATACATATATATATATATATATATATATATATATATATATATATATATATATATATATATATATATATACACAAATGAGATAATATATATATATATATTTATAAATATATATATGAAGTTAGTTGAGTATCCCTTACAGGACGTTGCAGAACCAACCCCAGCATTTATTGGCTGTTGTGGTTTTGCGAGGCAAATTTTACACTCAGTAGTTTGCCATTGCTACTGAACGGTCAGCTCTCGGTACCACTGTCGAAACCAGCGCAAGACAAATTGTTTGCAGCAGGGATCGAACCCGGCACCCCAGCATTACGAAGCGCGATCGCAACGCCTAAGCCACAGATGCCACACATATATATATATAATATATATATATATATATATATATATATAGATATATATATATATATATATATATATATATATATATATATATATATATATATATATATATATATATATATATAATATCTACAGATATATGTATATCTATGTATATATATATATATATATATATATATATATATATATATATTATATATATATATATATATATATATATATATATATATAGTCATGTATATATTGTGTATATGTGTGTGTATATATATATATAGATATAGATATATATAGCATAGATAGTATATATATATATATATATAGGATATAGATAGATAGAGTAGCTAGATAGATAGCTAGATAGATTAGATAGATAGATAGATCAGATATATAGATAGATAGATAGATGATATTAGATAGATATAGATGATAGATATATATATATAGATAGATACATAGACTAGATATATATACATACAATTGAAGAGATTTACATATGCCAACACTAAGAAGAATAGATAGATAGCATGGTGGGGGTAGAAAAGCTGGATGGGGATCTTGTGGTCATCTTCTTACAACCCCTAGAAATTGTCTAGACAAGGAAGTGAGCCTGAAGGGTGGTTTAGTCTAGTTTGAAAACTCAATAATAACAATACTGTGCTGTGTGGCAAATAAGTGTAATGATATATTTGAAACAATATGAAATTTATAAACATAAAGTTTTAAAGAGAATTTCTATATATGGATAAAGTGAGTTGCTTAGCCTTATTTGGGGTGAGGTGGGGGTTATCTGGTGCCTATGTCTCTGTTATATACTGACTGTATAAAAGCATAGATATTCTATCTTTCTTTCCCTGTACGAAAAAAATAGGCTGTGGTCAGACTTAGACATAATAGATAGATAGATAACACCACAAGATAGACTAGGATAGATAAGATAGATAGATAGATAGATAGATAAGATAGATATATCTCAGTTTGTTTATGCCAACACTAAGAAACCCAGGTGGTGGGTAGAAAAGCCTTGTGGTCCCTTCTTACAACCCCTAGAAATATGTCCCCTGAAGGGGGTTTTAGTCTAGTTTTGAAAACTCAATACTAACAATACTGTGGCTACAAGGATATATTTGAAACATTTGAAATAGAAAACATAAACTTCTGATATGGAGAAAGTGCGAACTTAGACTTATATTGGGGGTGAGGTGTGGGTTATCTGGGGCTATGTCTCTGTTATATACTGACTGTATAAAAGCAGAGATATTCTGCGAAAAAAATAGAGACGAGCATAGACCAGAAAGACTGGATCTGCTTAAGCAGACCCCACCCCCCACCCCACCCGTTCAAATGGGAAAAAAACCCTTAATGAAATACATCACTAAAGTTTATGGCAAAAAAAGTTTTCCCATAGGATGCAAATTTTTTGGTTCAGTAGTTTGGCAAATTTTATGTTTGCAGTGGACCCCCCCTCAGCGGTCAGCTCTTGGTACCAATGTCAAAACCAAAACAAGACAAACCATCTGCAGCTGGGATCGAACCCGGCACCACTCGCATTACGAAACTCGTTTGCAACGCTTACGCCACAGACGCAGACCAAAAAAACTTATGTTAACATGATTTGTTACCTGGTCTTGCAGATATGTTAACCTGCTGAGGTACCAGCCAAGAGGATGCCATCTTCTGATTGTCACTGGCCACGTCTGCATCCTGGTATATACAATCACAAATGGAAATGAACATTTTATAGTAACTTTAAATGTCAATGACCAACACTATATTAAACAACTATTTGATAGACATGAGTTACTTCATTTTACTAGTATTATAAGCTGGGCTGTTTGTGTAAGTATTTCACATATGGGTGTCATAGCAGAGTAACTGCTAGAGACTCACCTAAAAAGTTAAAGGTTAAAGTCAAGAGGATCGACTTCATTGCACCATGGCTCGGTCTCTCTCCACAGAATGGCTAGCTGCCTACCGAGAGTGTCGCACAGGCAAATATGCCTGAAGCCGTGAAAAAGTGGTCCTTTACTTTACTTGCAACTTTTTAATATTTATCTAAAACAACAATTCAGTCTGAGTGTTA